CTTCGGGAATTTCCACAGTGCCGAACACGGGCTCGCTGAATTGCTGCCGGTTCTGCCAGCGCGCATGGAACATTCATAACGCCAACTACCAATCACGAATGAATTGAATCACATGTCAAAATAAGAGACACCGGCATGGTGGACTCCATGCTCCCCCCAAGAAGAACCACCACTCCGCAATCACACGCAATCCTGCATTTTTTCACGCGTTCTCATCGAAAGCTGGCTGACAAACTACACTTCAATTCTACAATCCCGTTGGGCCTAACCGTCAACCACGCTCTTCCCTGATGTTTTCTCGCTGGAGTGACTCATGCGGGCCAACTCCAACGACCACCACTGAGACTGTCGTGCAGAACAGATGGTCTAAGCTAACATCCCTTCACACGCCTGGAAGAGAACAATTTTCTTTCTGCTTCCCCTTCCCCCTTCCGCACCTGCAAGAGAAACTTGACAACATGTGAAACTTGAAACTCGGCAACAGAAGGTGCTGCCAAGGCAGCAAAACCGGTCGGGGCTGGACATAACCGAAAACATGAGAGATTGCTTGGGGCCAGAACAAATTGTGGCGAACTGGCCAGGGCTGGAAAACATGACCGGCCACTCTTGACAAATTTCTGCAACACTCAGCTCTTCTCTTTCCTCGACAAACAACAGAGCATGAGGACGACAAATCTGTGGAACCTCTGCCAACTCATGCGCAAATCGTTAAACCGGAAACGAACACCGCCTTTTTCAGTCGAATTGCCGGAACACCATCGCGATAGACCCATCCGAACAATGACAGAACTCTGACGGAATCACGTCACAGCCGACACCCGCTGATTCTGGAACCCACCGATCAGACGATGACGCAACTTCAATATTGAATTCATGCATCCCTAGAACAGAACAAGGAATAAGTCTATAATGTTCGGCGCTGGTGCAAAACACTTGATGACTGGGTCTGTCTGTATTCTAAACCATACAACCAACTTTCCAAACGCCAAATCCAACGGCCTCTGGCGAAGCCGTGTTGAGCCGTGATAGCCTGTGCTGGGCAAGTCTAACCAAATCATATCTCAAAATCGGGAGTCTCTCGTTGCCCGCAGCGTTAGGCCGCCCGCTTATCCCGATCTTGGACGGGTTTGTCGCTACATCCCAGTGGGTGCACGGAATGAGGTACGGATTCAGGCCCACTGCCTGCAGATCTCGCATCGTCGGCACCTAGACAGCCACTGTACAGTCCAGGCTAATCCACAAGAAACCTTCCACAGAAACCCAACTCTGAGACCCCAGGATGTCCATTCGTTTTTCGCGTGGGATCGTCACGCCTTCCACATCAAAACTCCGAAACCGAAGAAACCCAGGGCACCCTGGAGGCAAGCAGGGCGGTTCTTGGCATGGGCCTACATTGCACACCTATCTCATATCCAAAATATCCTAGCATTCTCTTCCAACATCGATGCGCACCAACCCGTTTCTGGTTGCAGGAGTGATGCGCGCTACCTCCTCTTGCGAGCCAACTGCAAACGCCAGCGGCGCCACAGAAATCCTCTTGTCACCGTGAACATCGGGCACAATGAAACCGAACGCGCCTTCGGGAATTTCCACAGTGCCGAACACGGGGAACCCAAGAAACCTTCCACAAGAAACCCTCCACAAGAAACCCAACCCTGAGACCCCAAGACGTCCATTGATGTTTTGTGTGGGAATTTCACGATGTCCATCGCAAAAACAATCGAGACTCAAGAAACCCAGGGCACCCTGGAGGCAAGCAAGGCGTTTCTTGGCATAGGTTCCCACTGTACGGTTTCAGGCTCACGCCCCGCAGATTTCGCAACGTCGGCACCTAGACAGCCACTGTGGCGACAGGCGACAATTATCGCGCTACCATTCGGAACGCCAGAGAAGGAACGCCAGACAAGGATTAGGTCGGGCATGTCCTCCTACAGGAGGATTGTTGTAAAATGGGGAAATCGTCAAATAATGATCATACATAGTCACAAATGATCGAAACATGTTCCCCAGACTATTTTCTGACAATTTTGGAATGTTCCCACTGTAGAGACATTGCCCGACTTAAACCTAGACAGCCAATGTAGAAGCCTCCTAGAAGGGGTCGGATTGGATGTGGTCGGGGGGTCGCGCCGCATCGCCGATACATCGGCGATGTATCGGCGATGCACCGGCGATGCGTTGTCGACGTGGGCGATGCATCGGCGACGTCGACGTGAAGCAAATCGGGCTCCGCGTCGAGCCGCGTCGGCGATGCACCGCCGATACGGCGCGACCCTCCGACTCCATCTGCTCGAACCACATCTGAGAGGCTAGGCGTAAGAGTGACCCTGGGTGAGAGTGACCTTTGGTGCGTAGCTTTTGGGGGCGCGAGGGAGCCACACCCAAGGGCGCGGGCCGCTCATATCGCATCGCGCTCGGCGACCGGGGGAGCCCGATGCGCCCGCACCAAGAGGTCACTCTGGCGAAAGGTCCCTCTCACGTGTAGTCGAATCTGGGAGGCCTAGACACTGTTTTGGACGCCCGAAATGGGCACCGAAAAAATGGGTACAATGCCCAACAGCAAATGTTGTCCCAAACCGACGGCGGCCGCTGTTGGGCAGGCGGCCTCCTGTCTCGCATGGACACCGGCCGCGGCGGCGTGGACAGCGAGCCCTGTTCAGAATGAGCAAGACCCGCTGTTGGGCATTGTGCCCATTCTTTCAGTACCCATTTCGTGCGTGCAGCCCCGAGGCCGGGGCGGGGGACTGTGCGTCGTGGCTGTGCTCGCGACGCCCCGGATGTCAGGGGAGGAGGCGACGACGACGACGACGACGACGACGACGACGACGACGACGACGACACGCGACGGCCATCGCGCTGCCGACCGGCACGCCACCGACGGCGCGCCAGGACAGGGCACGGAAGGGCCCCCCCGCCACGGCCCGCCTCGGCTCCACGACCAGCGGTCCCCCGACCTGAGCCGAGGAGCTGCCGAACACCAGGGCCCCTCCTGCACACTTAGAGGCCTCCTGGATGGGGTCCGAGTAGATGGGATCGGAGGATGCCGCCGCATCGCCGATACATCGGGGATGCATCTCCGATGCATCGGCGATGCATCGGCCATGCACTGGCGACGTCGGCGATGCATCGGCGATGCTGGCGTGGAGAAAATTGGGCCTCACATCGAGCCGCATCGCCGATGCATCGCCGATGCATCGCCGATGCATCGGCGATGAAGCGCGATCCTCCGACCCCATCTGCTCCGACCCCATCTAGGAGGCCTAGAACACTTCTTTCGGGCGGTGGTAGAACTGGGCTTAGTGGATCCTGGTTTGGTGATCTGTATACCTGGTTCAGTGATTCTGGCCAATTCAAAAGCTCCGGGGCCCTACCACTAACCGGGTCCCCTTACCCGGGGTCCTGGCGGTACCCGATTCTTTTACCAGCAGCAAGCGGGAGCCCAGTGGCAGTGCGCAGGGGGACGACACGGCACGGCGACGCAAACGACGGACGACAGACGAGCGACAAGCGCGCGGGGCGGGGAGGGGGAAGGAAGAGGGGTAGGGGGAGGGCAAAGGAGGCGCGCCGGCCCGCGCCCGGACCGCTGGAGGGCCCCTCCTGAGCACAAATTTGTCCTTAATGCACCGTCCCCAGACCTCCTCGAGTCGTGACAAAAAAATCACGACGGGAATTTCGTTCCCTATTTTCGGCCTCCGGGGGCTCTTACCGGGCCCCGGGAGCAACAAAAAAACGACTCAGGATGAGAAGCCTGTCCCAGTGAAGGGGTCCAGACGTCTGGGGATCGACGTTATGAAAAAATCACGTCGGGGGTCTGGTCTTGAAGCAAGAGGACGGGTGGCCAGCTGCTCCGATGGCAAGGCAAATATAGAGTATGCATCATGTCAACTCCTCGCGGATGCCCCCCCCTCGCTCCTCCAGTGTCTCCAGGACCCTCCCCCCTCCCTGAAGATCATTCCAATGGATTGCAACGCTGCCGTGCGATGCAATGCTCAGCAATGCAAAGCCAAGCGATGCAACCTAGTGCAAAACGGTGTAACGAATTACAAAGCAATGCAATGCCACGCAGTGCGGAACCATTTCAAAATACATCAGAACTCAGCAGAGCGAAGAAAGGAAGCCACGACATGGCAATTCACTGCAGCGCACAACAACGCAACGATGTAACACGTGCCAACTTCTCACCTTTGCATTTGGCTCGCCATGATCTTAAACTTGTCTGCAATGCTGTGCCTCGCTGTTTTTGTTGTGTTTGCCGAGCAGGGGATCCACATCGAGGTCGCACTGCGTGAGTTGAAAAAGCGCGGATCAAGGTAATCCACCAACTTCAGGACCACTTGTTGTTCAGGGATGATGCTTCTCTGTGGACGTCAGGTCTCGACTTCGAGGATTTGGCTGGCCTTCAAACCGCGGCACTGGGACGCGTACGTCAAAATTTGTCGGCCTTCAGACAAACTGGGGTCCTGCCAAATACGAGCACCTGCCCCTTGTCTCAACCGCTGCCCCCCGCCTGTACGACCAAGCCAACGTAGAGCCCCAAGGTTGTCGCCGACACTGCGGCAAGCATCTGCGGTAGCCTCTTGCCTCGGTGGCACTGCAGAGGGCGCGAGATCTCCCTCGGCCCGCAGACCATCCTGCGTCTCCTTGCAAACCTGTGACGACGCTGACGCCACTCGCAAGCATTGCCCGAATTATTTGACCATCTCATGCGCCGAGTCCTGGCGTTAAGTCGGGCCTGTCCCCCTACAGAGGGATCTTGGACGAAAAATAAAAAATAGTCAGGAAAAACGCTAAAATACTCCAAAAAATATCCACGAATCGTCCCCAGACTATTTTTTGACAATGTTTGAATAATCCTCCTGTAGAGGGACAGGCCCGACTTAATCCTGGCGCCGCACTCTGTCCTTCGCCTCGCATTTTTGTCTCATCGTGATGATCACGTGCGAAGCGTGCAACATCGTCCCCTCCACATCCACCTCCGTAATCCTCGCCCCCTCGTGGCCCCACCGCTTTGCCGACCTGGTGCCTCTCCCGTCCTCCTCCCGTCCTCCTCCCCTGGCGGCGCACATCCCGCTTCCCCCCCAACCGGCCGGTGCATCAACTGCGGAGGACGAGCAGACGCAGTCGGAAGATCTCGCCGCACCCCCGATGCACAGCCGATGCACTGGCGCTGTGCCAGCGACGGCGGCGACGAATCGCCGACGTCGGGGTGGAGCAGCTCGGGCCCCCCCTCGCGCCGCACATCGCCGAGGCGGTGCCGCCCTCTGGCCGCAGGTGCCCCGACCCCGCCCGGGAGGCCCTGGCTCGGGCCCGATCCGCCAGGGCCCCCATCGGGAGATCTGGAGCCCATTACTGAAGGGGCCCACAAACACACAAATAAATACACACAAACAGAATTCCCCATATTTTCCCATAGTTTCTGGGGTTTTGTCTTCCCCCCCACTTCCCATACTTTCCCATATTTTCTTCGGAATCGACGATTAATGGTGTCTGTGTGTTTTTTCCCTCCTGAATTACGGCTGGAACGCCAGCTCGTAACATGCTCTTGCCAGCTCACGCTGCGGCGGCTCGGCATCCTCACGCAACCGTTTCTGTGTTGAGCCTCGAAGCTGGGTAGCGCGGCAAGCCTGAGGTGGATCGAATCGCGAACTGAGATCGGATCGTCAACGAAGCGTCCTGAATCGTATCGAAATCGGATCGCCGCGCCAGGCTCTGGCTGGCCCTGGCCGATATCGGTGAACCGAACCACACCGAACCGAGTGACTCGCGGCCCCAGCCGGCGAATCGACCCGCATCGGGCCGTATCGTAGTCGACCCTGCGCAGTTGGAGCTTTCTCGCCATCTGACGCGTGAGGGCACCTGCCCAGTGATCCCCAAGATGGGGTCCCCTAACGGCAGGGTGAACATGCACTCCACTAGCGTTGACGCACTTTCGCTCGGCATTTTCTGACCCAGGCGTTCCCAACAGGCAGCATGACGTGCGTCTCTATCGAAATGCAGACTCGAATTTGGCGCGTGCCGTTTAGAAAGATGGCATGCTGCTCTTGCTGCAGCGGCGGGGAGAGCGCTGGGGCGCGTGCCCAAACCGATAGCAGCGATGCCCATCACCTCCCTCGCCCTGTCTTCGGTAGCCCTTGGCAACTGCTACTCGATTGCCTGTCACTGCCAGGAGGTGACCGCGAATGCTGCCCGCTCTTGCACGACCTGTTATACGCAACCCACGCGAGCTGCCTGGCATCCGAGCTCCACATCGTCGCATGTGCCACGCCAAAATCCCCCAAACTCGCCATCGCTCGGACGTCCATTTCCCGTGCATTTGTCGGTTTCGTGCTTGTTTTTTGTTCCTCGATGGTCCAGGATCGTCCTCAATGGTTCTCGCCGAGGAAAAATGCACACGTCCGAGCGATGCCAGGCAGAGAGGCCGGCGTCGGTGCGCGACTCGCGTGCTCGGCGGAAGCGGTTCCCGAGCCGCTCTATGGCCTCTCCTCGTCCTCTGCGTACACTTCGCTTCCTCCACCGGTCCTGCAGCCAACACCGCGGGCCCGCTGTGCCTGCCAATCCGCGCATCCCTCAGTGGACGGGCGCGTTCCACTACTCGCAAATCAACTACTCGCAAATTGCCTGGATCCGCCGCGGAGCAATTACGATATATTACATAGAGGAAGACCTGCATATTTCGGACGTTTGCGAGTAGGCACTTTGCGAGTAGTGGAACGCGCTCGGCGACTCATGTCGGGTCGGGCGAAAGGGGGGGATAGCAAAAGGGGGCTTTGAGAATCAGCTCACGTAGCTGATTTTCCTGGCGCCTCCCGGCGCCGGAGGCGCCCAAGTATCGAGGAATGGGCCCCTCGGCGGGGCCGAATCCAGCAGCATGCAGCAAATTTCGTAACCCCCCCTTTCCCAATCCCCCCCTTTTGTCCAGCCCGATGATGCAACGTCGGATCATGGCCCCTTCCCCTCCAAGGCGACACCGTGCAGCACATCTGGGTCCCCCAGGAAGTGGTCCAGCTGAAGGCCGGGGCGGATCAAGACGCGAGCGAGGGAGCTCGGCAACGAAGCATGTAGATCCCCGTCGCCCCCGAACAACACGGCGAGAGTGCCTGTGTCTGCGTCTCTCTTTTCCGCCCGATTCTGCTCCGAGCCCGTCGGGGAAGCCCAGATGCCCGGTCGCAGGGAGCCACGACAAGCCAGGAGACTCCCCAAGCGAAAAGCTCTGCCCCAAGCGAGCGTGCACCCGACAGGGCTGAGCTGGATCGAGTCGCACATTGGGATTCGCCCCTCTCGTCGCCTCCGAATCCGAGCCGTGTCGGAAGGCCAATCCATAAGAAACCTCCCACAAGAAACCCAACCCTGAGACCCCAGGATGTCCACTGATTTTTGGCGTGGGAACGTCACGCTTGCAATAGCAAAACCATCGAAACCCAAGAAACCCGGGGCACCCCTGGAGGCAAGGAGGGTGTTTCTTGGCATGAGTTGCCGCTGTAGAGGGCCCAGGGAGACCCAAAAGAAGGCCGAAAGGCCAGGGAAGAGCCCCAACGCGGCCAAATAGGGCACCTGCCCAGTGATCCCCAAGATGGTTTCCCCTGACGACAGGGTGAACATGCACTCCACTAGCGTTGACGCACATTCGCTCGGCATTTTCTGACACAGACATTTCCAAAGGCAACCCAACGTGCGTCTCTATCGAAATGCAGACTCGAATTTGGCGCGTGCCGTTTAGAAAGATGGCATGCTGCTCTTGCTGCAGCGGCGGGGAGAGCGCTGGGGCGCGTGCCCAAACCGATAGCAGCGATGCCCATCACCTCCCTCGCCCTGTCTTCGGTAGCCCTTGGCAACTGCTACTCGATTGCCTGTCACTGCCAGGAGGTGACCGCGAATGCTGCCCGCTCTTGCACGACCTGTTATACGCAACCCACGCGAGCTGCCTGGCATCAAGATGCCGCAGCGTCGTATGCGCCGCGCGTGTCGCCTGCGTCATGGAACGCTCTCAGCGCGCTCTGGTGAGCGTTCCGGAAGGCTCCGGAACGGACTTATCCTCGTCCTTGGCCCGATCGATGCCAGGCCGCCGATACGAGAATAAAGGGGCTCAAGGACACACAAATCGCATCGGATCGGATCGTCTCCCTGCGTTATGGAACTCTCTCAACACGTTCTGGAGAGCGTCCCGGAAGGCTCCGGAACGGATTTACCCTCGTCCTTGGCCCCGTTCGATGCCAGGCCGCCGATACGAAAAATAAAGGGGCTCAAGGAGACACACACATCGCATCGCACCGGATCGTTGGCGGCCCTCTCCGATCCTCTGCCTGCGAGGGCGCCCCGCGTCGTGCCCGTGCCCCACCGGTCGGATGAAGCAGGTAGAAACCTGAAGTAGGCAGGCGTTGAGGTAGATTGGGTTCCCTCCGCCCCCCTAAGGAGGACGGAAAAGGTGAATCCCCTCGATCACCGAAGCAGGAAGGCGCTTAAAGCCGACTGCAACCTGGGAGAATCCAGCAATACCTACTTTTAACGACCGATGGGTACAGTCAAAAATCCTAATACGGACGCGCGGTAAGGACGCAAGACCCTTGGAAGCCGAAGTTGGGACTTTTGGGGCGGCGGGCGACGAACACCTCAAGGACGCAAGAGCAAGGAAGAGCAAGGACGCAAGGGTACCCTGAGCAAACTCGCACGTCCTTATTAGGGTTTTTGACTGTACATGCAACACTTGTCCCCATATTACTTTTTGACTGCTCTTGAATACTCCCCCTTGTGGAGGGAAATGCCCGACGTACTGCCGCTGGGCCGCCGACTTCGGGGGCCCAGGGCGCCCTTATCAGGAGAAGGGGGTACCCTGAGCAAAGTCGCGCGCCCTTGTCAAAGTTTCTGACTGCAGCTCCGCGCCCCGGGCGCCGCCGCCCGGGGCGACGGGCGGCCCTGCGGCCAGGGCCGCGAGGGCACGCGGCGCGATCGCAGAGCTGAGGCGAAGCCAGGACGAGGATGCAGTCGGGTGAGGATAGATCGAAAAGGTACCCCTACCGTGAAGTCGGGCCTGTCCCCCTACAGGGGGATTTTCGACGAACAATAAACAATACCCCAAAACTAGTCCAAAAATAATACAAAAATAGTCAGGGGACTATTTTTGGAGTATTTTTGACCTTTTTGGAATATTTTTGGTGAATTTTCTATTTTTCGTCGAACATCTCCATGTAGGGGGACACGCCCGACTTAACCCTACTGCTACCCTTCCCACGTTTTCACCTTTTGGGCCTCCTGGGAGGCCCTCATCACCATATCTGGGTTCGCCTCGAAATGCTGGTCAGAACGCGCCCTGGGAGCGGTCCGGGGAGTAGCGGTACCAGTACCTTTTGGTTCTCCCGAAGACGAAGCCAGGACGAGGATGAAATCGGGTGAGGGTAAATCGAAACTCTCTGAGATCCCGCGGCTCCGGAGGAAGCCTCAGGCGCCGCGGCCTTCTCAGATTTCTCAGAATGTTCGGGAACGCCCTGGGAGCGTTCCAGCACGCTCTGGAACAGATTTTTTCCCTCGCCCTGGCCCCGTTCGAAGAGCAGCTGGGGAAAGAGCGGAAATGGGGAATTCCGCAACACGAAGAGGAGGTAGTCACGGCTGGAATCGAGTGGCCGAGGCAGGAACGAGGTCGAAGCAGGACGCGGGTGGTTCTTGGTGGCCGGAGCTGGCGCAAACCTCAGGGAAACTTGCCAGTGGCCAGAACGAGTGGAAGCAAGGGCAGCTGTGCTCGCGCTTCGCGAAGCGGTCATGGCCCTCGCGCTCTCGCGCCGCGCCCCCCCCAGGGGAGATGTGGACAGAAAGCATGAGGATGGGGAATCGCGAACCGCGAATGACTCCGCGCCCTCCTGGCGGCCCTTGTGTCAGGTCGGGCATGTCCCCCTACAGGCGGATTTTGGACAACAAATGAAAAATGGGTATGAACGAAAAGCGGAAAAAAAAACAAAACACTAAAAATAAAAACGAAAAACGAAAAAAAAAACTGAAAAAACGAAACAAACTAAAACAAACAAAAAAAAAAACACTGTGAATAATCGAACAAATCGTCCCCCCGGATGATCTTTTGGGGGACGGGCGGCGGGCCGGGCTTGCCGCGCAAGGCTCGCCACAGGTCAGGCTACAGGCGGATTCTGCACGAAAACCTGAAAACCCCCTACTCATCTTGACAAATAGCCAAAAACGTGCGGGCCAGGTTTGCCGCGCAAGGCTTGCCACAGGTCAGGCTACAGGCGGACTCTGCACGAAAACCTAAAAACAAAAACGTAATCGAAACATTGTCCCCAGAGTATGCCTCAAACTATTTCTGAATTCTCCTCCTGTAGAGGGACATGCCCGACTGAAGGCTTGCGCGAGGCCTCCCGTCGGGGATCTGCCCACCCGGGTCAATCCAGACTCCCGGGCGCAGGATCCTGCAGGATCCTGCGCCCAACTTCGGGTCAGTGAACCCCTGGCGCTGCACGATCCTGCAAGATCCGGCGGTCTGACTGACCTTGGGTCGGGCGTGTCCCCCTACAGGCGGATTTTGGACGAAACTGAATAGGGAAACAATACTCAAAAACCGTTAATATTAATGCTAGCAAAATCGTCTCCATACGATGTTTGGACTATTTTTGAATATTCCTCCTGCAGAAGGACATGCCTGACTTAAGACTGACCCCCGTTTACATTGACCCCCGTCTCTTGAGCCCCGATCCCGGCAGTGCGGCTCTGGGCCCAGCGCCGGGGTTGCCCGCCCGCTCCCCCCGATGTCGCACTTTTTACACCGTCTGGCGAAGCCCTGTGGCAGAGGAGTCGTCTGTGCAGTCGGCCGCAACGATGCAGGTCGACCCCAGGTCCAGGGGATGAGGGGAGCCCCCTCGGGGCGGGTCGCCGCTGGCCCGACAGATGATGCGCGTCGCCAGCGCCCGCAGTCGAACCGATCGGCTCATGGACGGCACCGGGCGCTCGATACCTACAGACGATCGCCCGCAGCTCAGCTCGCTCGCTCAGAAATAATAACAGTAATAATGATACATGCTCCTCCCCCTCCTCCCACTACAACGATCACTGCTACTACTAGTACTCATATTCCTTGTTCTCCTCCTTCTCCTACTACTACTACTACTACTACGACGACGAACCATTATTCTATTTGTACGAATACTGGTAAAGCAAACAAATCATAATCGTAGGAATGCACATACACGGTAATACGATACATGTAAAATCGGACGATGCGACTGCTACTACAACGACTACTACCTACAACTACTAGGAACTGCTACTACGACCGCTACCACGACTACTACTACTACTACTACTACTACTACTACTACTACTACTACTACTACTACTACTACTACTACTGCTCCTACTCCTACTACTACTACTACTACTACGACTACTACTACTACTACTGCTACTGCTACTGCTACAACAACAACTACCAGTACTACGACTACTACTACTACTACGACTACGACTACTCCTACTACTACTACTACTACTACTACTACTACTACTACTACTTCTACTACTTCTTGTACTACTTCTACTACTACTACTATTACTACTACTACTACTACTGCTACTACAACTACAACTACTGCTACTACTACTACTACTGCTACTACTACTACGACTACTACGACTACTACGACTACTACGGCTACTACTACTACTACTACTACGACTACTACTACTACTACTACTACTACTGCTACTACTACGACTACTATTACTACGACTACGACTACGACTACGACTAGGACTACTGCTACCACTACCACTACCACTACCACTACCACTACTACTACTACTACTACTACTACTACTACTACTACTAACTACCGACCTACCTACCTACCTACCTACCTGCCTACCTACCTACCTACCTACCTACCACTACTACTACTACTACTACTACTACTTCTACTTCTTCTTCTACTACTACTACTCATACTACTACTACTACTACTACTACTACTACTACTACTACTACTACTACGACTACTACTACTACTACTACTGCTACTACTACTACTGCGACTACTACTACGATTACTACTACTACAACTACTACTACTACGACTACTACTGTTCTTATTATTATTACTACTACTACGGCTACTATTGCTATCTCTTACGACGGCTAATCCTACGACTATGTATTCGAATCGTACCCGTGTTGATAAGATTGGTGATGTCACTAGTCGTAATACTAGTAACGAGAAGACTAACAACACGAATACTATTACTACGAATACCAAGAATACGACTGTGCAAAAAGAGAAGAACTAATACGACTACTGACGCTATTACGAATAATATCCACACACCCTTGCCCAAACATGCGAAACCTGGACTGTGTCAACATGGGGCCCCCGAAGCCCCGACACTGTCCCTGCGGCCAGTCTTCAAAACCGTCCTTCACCAGCCTTAGCGCACGGCATGCCCGCCGGACACCGAACACGCAAAAACAAAAACAATCCTACCGTCACGATATTTTCTAACGACGCAAGCATGTCTGGCTTGGACGCCGCAGATTCGGTCGATCCGCGCGACGCGGCCCAGGCCTGCTCCACCGTCCAGAAGGCATCTTCGGTGCCGTTCGTCGCGTTGACGAGTAAGTCGGGCATGTTCCCCTACAGGAGGAATATATAACAAAAGAGTCAACAAATAACAGGGGGAGGAGTTTTCTACTACCATGTATAAAATTCTCTTCGAACCTGTATGGGCTATGCTATACTTCATGTTCAGAACCCGCCTGCAGGGGGACATGCCCGACCTAAGCTGAGGAGGCCGTCGTCCATGGGCGCACCCCCGCGGCCACGGGCGGTTCGGCACACCCGGCCCGCGGCAGCGGGCGCCCGCTCCCCCCCTGGCGCAGCGGCCTGCGGCCAGGACGCGCGGGCAGGGCAAGGGAAGGCGCTGTGGGATGCCATGACAGTGGACACTCTAACCGTTTTTTCATTGGACTGAACATGTATGTTTAAATGTCCTCAACATGTCTTGAACCTGCTCGGAACATGTTTGACGCATGTTCTATAGCATTTGAGAAACACAGGCTACACAGGTCTTAGACATCTGGAAACTGTTCGGCAATCCGCCGCCTTTCCATTTATTGTCTTCCACAAGGAAGGTGGAGGAGCAAGAGGAGGAAGAGCAAGGACACGGAACGCCTGTTTGAGCTGGAAAGAAGCGCGCGCACAAGCCACCTTCTGGCTCTCCTTCCTCCAGCCCCTCCACTGCCCCGGCTCCGCTCCGCTTCGCCCGCTTTTGCGCAAGCGCCTGTTTTTGCGCACACGCCCTCGCACAAATGCCCGCGCACACACAACCACCCAAGAGGCCCTCCAGGAACGCTCAAAACGCCCAGCAGGAAGAGCAGCTCCGCACAACTTGGGCGTTTGTTGTTAGCCTGCTTCGTTTTTCGGGCCTCTCGGCTCAAGATGCTTCCATGAGGGCCTTAGTGGGAGCAGAAGCAAGCTAGAATACAGTGGAGGCCCGACCACAAGAAACCTTCCACAAGAAACCCAACCCTGAGACCCCAGGATGTCCATTGATTTTTGGTGTGGGAGCGTCACGCTTCCATAGCCGAAGCAGCGAAACCCAAGAAACCCAGGGCACCCCGGAGACAAGCAGGGTGCTTCTTGGCATGGGCCTCCACGGTACGCAAAAAGAGCCCAAACGCTCAATGACAACCCAGGAGGGCCCCAAGACGACGCAAGAGCTGCCAAGGACAGGTGAAGAGGGCCCCGAGATGCAGGAAAGCCCAGAATCGAATCGATGTCGGATCGGCAACCGAAATGAGTCGGATCGGCGGAAATCGGCAGCCGAGTCGGGAAAAGTCGAACCGGCGGAAATCGGCAGCCTAGTAGGCCTCGATTAAGAAATCGGAGCCAAACTCGGAATCCGAAATCGAATCGAATCAGAATCGGATGCCGTCGAAATCGGTTCGCATCGAATCGGAGGAATCGAAGCGAGCCCTGGAGAGGGCCCCGAGATGGCCCAAAGAAGCCCTGAGAAAGTCCCAAGATATTCCCCAGACGGCCGAGAACGTGCCCCAGACGGCAACAGAACGGGCCAAGACGGCAACAGAACGGCCACACAGGGCAGGAGCCCACGACGGCCCCAAGACGGCCCGGGCAGACCCCATGAGAGGAACTCTCATCAGGCGATCGCAAACATGGATCGAAGGGGCGTGGATTAGCGGTGGGTCCCGTTTCCATGGGAAATCGCGGAGTTCCGCCGCCGAACGAGGCGGCACCGGCCGCATTTCGGGGAGGGCACCTCCCCCGATCCATGGACTTGGCGACCGCGCGCCAAATCCATGGATCGCTACTCCACGTTTCCGCGCCCCCGTTCCCAGAGTCCCTCAAGGAATAAGGGGGAAGTGCAACAGCTTACGCATCTGTCGGCGGTGCTCGAAGCGTCACTGCACCACATGCAACTCTGGCGCGGTGGCGCGCTTGCCGCAGGTGACTGTATACCACCATGCGACATGCATTCAGGTAAGACGGGCATGCCTGGACCTCCTTGGCGGATGAGCAACTTTTGCACGACAATGCCCGCCACCGTGCCTGCACGGAGTGGGCGCGTCAGAGGGCTCGCCTGCTGGCTAGTATAAGGCCGACCCCCCCTCTTCGCCCACGTGTCCCTTCGCCCACGCGTCATTCGAAGACCGGCCTCTCTGAAATGGCTCTCCTGCGGTCTTTTCGGCCTCCAAGCGGCCAGTATGGCCGCCAAGGACGGCTTCTTAGACAGCCAAGACGACACCAAACCGGCCCCAAATGGCCCAGGACGGCTCAAGAGGCTCCGAAGATAGCCGCAAGACAGCCCGAGAGGCTCCCAAACAGGTCATGAGCCCCCGAAGGAGGCCCCGAGTCAGCCCAAGAGGACTCCAATCTCGCCCAAGAGAATCCCAAGAGGGCCCCCAGACAGGCTTAGAGCGCTCCAAGAGGACACCAAAGACGGCTCAGAGAGGCCCCTTAGGCGGCCTCCGAAGGCGTCATAGGCGGGCCAATCGCCTCCCTAGACCGACCCAAGAAGTCCACCAAGAGGCCCCAGGAGGCCCCCCAGGAGGCTCCCAGGAGGTTCCCAGGAGGCCCCACGATGATCCCAAGAAACTTTCTCCTCCTCGTCCTAATGTGTTCCCTCTCCTCATCCGCCTCCTCCTCCCTATCGGGGATGGACAAACCTCCTTTTAGTAAAACGTGTTTTAGTGCAAACGACCTGAGGCTCAAACCTGACGGGCGAAAGCCTGGAAAATAACGGCCGCGGCGCCCTCTCGAGAACCGAAAACGGACAATTCACTAATCGACGTGTCACTGTTGGGGGTTCTGTCCACCCCCGACCCTAGAGTGCGGGCGAAGACGATGTCGGGGTCACAACCGTCACCAATGCAGACCATGCGCTGAACTGCCGCGGGGCGTGCAGTCGACCTCCTTCCTGCCCGAAGGGGCCCAGGGACACACAAATAAACAGACAACTCCCAGGATTCCCCAGATGTTCCTATCTTTTCTGGAGTTTCGTCTTCCCCTAACTTCGCATTGCTTCCCATCTTTTCGTGGGAGTCGACAACTAATTGTGTCTGTGTGTGTTTCCCCCTTCCTGACTACCGCGCGGACGAAGACGAGGTCGAGTTTACGACCCGTCCTTATCAGGCCACTCGTCGGAATTGCCCTGTTCCTGCACTCAGTCTGCTTCCTGCAGAGCTGCTACACGAGCGCGATGGCGGGGTTTGCCGCAGGCAGTTGGATAAGGGCCATGCAAAGAGCAGGGCTTCGCAGAACTCACTCGTAGAAGCCTGCACTGAACAACAGTACGACCTACATTGCAAATTATACAAGGGTGGCTGCGACCGGCGTGCACTGGAACAGATGGCAAGACGACTGCACGACGCCTTGAGTCTGCGTGTCTGCTGCGATCTTAAATGGTCGCCACAACTGAGAATACCCAGGTGGCCAAGACGCTCAAGCTTCGCAACTATGCCCAAGCGGCGCCCAATACGACACTGGGCATGGGCACACGTTCTGGCAGCGCTGGCAGCTCTCACACCTTCGATGCAGCTGTCGGCTTCGCAGCGACCTGGGGATGTATAGACACTTCCATCTTGATCGCGCTACCGATTCACACTTGCTTTTCGTGCACTTGACTTCGTGCCATTTCAAGCTCAACAAACAAAATGTTGCCCACATCACGTGCATATATAAACAGGCAAAACAAGTGTCTCAGCAAAAACGGATCAGCACGGTCCTGGAGCAAGTGTGATGGGAATTGCCACAGTATGGCAGCGACATATACATCTACCATGCTTTCACTGACCTCTTTATGTGCCTCTGTTTCTGAGTTTCGCTCTTCCTCCACCTCCACCTCTCCTCCTGGTCCTACATACTACGCTGCACTTGAGCTCCTTCTCCACGTGCCCCCAAGTGAACAAAGCCAACCCGCTTCGACTATCAATCCCTCCACCACCCTGATTCCGAGAGAACCTCGTACGCGAACGACTTTAAGCATAGCACCTTCACCGCGGCGATCCAAACGGCCACACCTGGGGGATGATAGAGACACTGTCAGGCACATGGGCTCAGACATGAGCTTTGAAAATGCGAGTCCATGTCTGCACGCACGCCTATACTACATGGATGCGCGTCTCGACGGTTGCTGCAACTCTGGAAACGCAACCTGCACACACAGGCGGACCCAATACATAATAACGTCCTTCAAGCAAATGAGACCCTCCGCTGGCCAGACCGAAGAACACTCGAGGGTGCCCTCCCCAGGATGCACAAAAACGTACCACAAGCACGAAGAACATTGGGGCACCCTCCTAGAACTGATCTCGATCTTACACTTGTGTTGCTCCAACCGTACTTCAGGACCACATCCCAAAAATAACTTCGAGCACCCCGAAAAGTGTGGAAAGAGTGTCGAAAGAGTGTCGAAATAGTGCCTCCCAGGCCTGGACACGTGAAAACCCTAGAGTTTTTGGGTGTTTTCCTGGCGCTCGAGATTCATTCTGGCCTGGCGATCAAGGCTAGAGAAGGTTGGAAGAACACCATCATCCTACACCTCAATCCGACCGTATCCGCCACCGTGCCCCTATACCCTGCGAAATGCTTTAGAAATCATGGGTTAAGAAATTCACAGTCTCAGAACTTGAATAAAAACCCAAAATTTCCATTCAAATCTTAAGATTCATATTGAAACGTTAAGAATAATCGAGACTCTGGCCGAAAACTTAGGTTTTCTTAAGCATCGCCCAAGGTGTACTTCCTTGGCTGCCCTTGCCAGCAGGGTGCCCTAAGAGCAGGGCCGCAGACCCTCCGCTCACGGAGCACCCGCGGCCCCTCGGGGCCCGCCGCGCGGCTTCTCCCGTGGCGCTGCAACCGCGGCTGGGCATCTTGGCCCCCAACATTGAAGGGGCCCACAAACACACAAATAAATACACACAAATAAAATGATGCCCCATATTTTCATATATTTTCTGGGTTTTTGTCTTCCCTCCCAATTCCCATAGTTTCCTATATTTTCTGGGGAATGGAGCATTAATTGTGTCTGTGTGTGTTTTCCCCTCCTGAAGCATGACGGCCGAAAAAGCAAGACGAAGCCAGGACGAGGATCAAGTCGGGGGGGGGCTTCATGAAGAACCTCTGAGATCTGGCGGCTCTGGAAGGTGTCTCGGGCGCCGCGGTCCTCCGAGAGCGCTGCAGAACGCTCTGAGAGCGTTCCGGAAGGCTCTGGAAGGGATTTATCCTCGCCCCAGCCCCGTCCGACTGCAACCGAATCCTGGTCTCCAACATGACGGCCTCCAAAACCCGTCTTGGGACCCTCTCCGGCATATGCTGGGCCATGTTGGGGACCAGCTCGCTGACGCCACCGCACAGATTTAACTACTTTCAGCTCTAGCTGCGTGGCTTTGTTACACCATCGCGTTTTCGGCCCAAAGACCGTCCAAGACGCCCCAAGAGGGCCCCTGGGGTCCCCAGGAGGCGCCCGAAACGTTTTGTCCGGAGACTACGCAGTCGTTCGAGAGCGCATCCTCCTTGGCCCAGGGAAAATGACCGCCGCACGTGAGGGTCAAACACATCAGAGACACTGGCACCAAAAACGTACCGGGACATGCTAGGCTCCGCGAGGCTCTGGTCGACATCCCAGCGGCAGCGGGGCCACGGAGGAATATATACTTGTTGGTTGTGTCAGGACGCGCTCGCATTGCAACAAAGTAACATATCTCCCATCACTGCAAATCAACATACCATGTCGCTCAAACAACGTACCCTCCCGGTGCTACTTCAATTGGGCGTGAACGAACCTGTCTCGGAGACTTGGTGGGGATGCCCGAGAGCAGCCGAACATGCTTGTGAGATCCTTCTCTCCCCCTGCCTCCTTATCTTTGTACTAGATCCCCTCTCCTCCCCTCCTCGCTTCTCCTTCCACTCTCCCGTCCCCCGAAAACCATATGTTTTGTTCACGCACACACACACACACACACGCACACGCACACGCACACTCGTATACATATGTATGTCTGTATGTCTGTATGTCTGCCTGTCTGTCTGTCTGTCTCTCTGTATGTATGCAGGCATGCATGTATGTATGTGTATATATACACGCTATATTTGTATGTGTGTCTACACTTATGTATGTATACACACATGCATTCCTGTAATCTTACAACGTGCAGGCTCGCCGCACCCCCGGATAGCAGCCCCCCATGCATTCTGGACGGTACCCCCCAGCCGCGGGGCACTTGTCGGAAGAGCTCCCTGACATCCGAAGACGCCTCGCCCCCCACGCGGGCCCAGGACGCCCCTAAGCTGGCCCAAGAGGCTCCCAAGGCACCCTAAGATAGTGCCCAAATCGCCCCAGAGCGCTCCCAGAGGGCCCAAGACAGTAGACGGCCACAAAGGCTTTCAAAATGGCCCAAGTCCCTCAGAGGGCCCCCATAAGGCACACTTCGTCGTAAGGCCAAATACTTTAGCATATCCGCTTCTTCGGACCTAACAGCGTCCATGACGACCCAAGTGGCCCCCAATGTCGCCCCATGACAAGCCATGCCCCCAGGAGGGCCCCAAGACGGCCCTATAGGGCCCCAGGGCGGGTCAAGAGAGCCCCAATACGGCCCAATACGAGCCCCAGAGGGTCCCAAAAAGAGTCTCAAAGGAGCCCATGGGAGGCCCTCTGGATAGACCAAACGGGCGGCCCCAGCATTGGGCCCAAAAAGGCTCCCAAATGACCCCCGGGAAAGCCCGAGAGGTTCCCAGAGACTCCCAAAGTGTTTCCAAAAGGTCTCGCGTCTGCGTCCTGCGCGGCGTCCCCAAAAAGGCTTTCAGAAGCCCCCGAGTCGCGAGCCATGCAGGGCTTCCAGAGGCCCCGCAGAAACATGCCTCACTTCGCTAGGCGGCCGCCGCTCTATCCCCCGAGACAACTCATTTCTACTCGCGTCGGCCTGCTGTAAGCCAGTCGGCGCCGTGAACACCAAGGCTCCAAAACGGCTCCCCAGAGGCGTCCAAACTGCCTCCAAGAGGCCCCCGATAGGCCTCTCACGAGATCCCAACGAACATCCAATAGACGTGTACCCAGAAGCCAGGCACGGAGGCGGGACTTGCCGTAGGCAGCTGCATATGTATATGCATGGATTTATATACATATATATATATATATATATATGTCTGTGTATACGTATATGTATACGCAGCTGTATATGTATATGTGCATGTATATGTATAGGTTAAAACAGCTGTAGTTGTAGCTGTATTTGTGTATATGCAACTATGTATAGACATGTACACATATAATATCTAGATGAATGGCTATGCGTGTGTACATGTAAACGTGTATGCATCGGTATATGTATACGTGTGTGGGTATGTATGTGTATGTGTCTGCATACGTGCCGGTGTCCATGTACATGTACGTGTACGCAAATGTGTATGGGTACATGTATCGGTATGTTTGTATGCATGTGTATATGCATGTGTATGTGTGTACGTGTACATATAAGTATAAGTATACGTGTGTCTGTATATAACATACTTGGACAAACGCACACGTACGTATATATCGATGCAGCCTTGCATATACGCACGTAGATGCATGTCATCTCTGCTGTCCCTTCTCCCTTCCCGTTCGATGTTTCGTACTGCCTCTTGCCACGAACCAGAACTTGTGAGGCCGTGGAACAATGAGGACCAGTGGAGAGAAGAAGGCTGGGATCACCGAGGCCCACGGCGTACACCATGGCGTAGACCATACAGGCTGCGATCGTGTAAATCCTGCGGGGCGCGACTGCCATGGCGCGGCGGCGGCCACGAGGGTGTGGTGTGGCCTCCCAGTGCGCGCGCGGGGGTGCGGGACAGGGGGAGACGGCAACATTCGGCGGAAGGCCACGTGAGACACAGACGGCCCTCAGGCCCGGCCCCCGTGCGCTCAAAGTCGCTCCGCGGACCCCACGTGGGGAGGTCCCTCCTGACTAGCTTCTTCAGGGCGGATCCTGGCGTGGTGAGCAGGAGGGATTCGAAGATTCCTGGCGTCCCTGACGCTCCTGACTAGGATCCTGGCGTTCCTGACTAGGATCTTCAGGGCGGATTCTGGCGTGGTGAGGCTCCCCGTCGCTCGGACGTCCATTCCCTGTGTTTTTTTCTGTTTCGTGCGTGGCTTTTTCGCCAAATGATCAAGGATGCTCCTCGATGGTCCTCGCCGAAGGAAAAATGCACACGTCCGAGCGATGCCAAGGAGGAAGCACATAACAAAAAACGCCAAGGAAACCCGCCGCTGTCCCGACCCGCCCTCCTCGGAAGCACACGTGGCGCGGGGCAGGGCGCCAGGCGCGCAGCCCTGCGGCAGGACAGGACAGCAGAACAGCAGCAGCTGCTTGTTTGCAGTCCTCCCATAAGGTTTCGCATTCATTAGATGTTGCTGCTATATATATATATATGTATAATATATATATATACATACATATACAAGTGCAGCTTCCTATTCCTAGTCTCCTTGAATGTTGGATCCAGAGCGTCTGGGTCTTGGCTTCGAGCAGCGTCCCACCTGTGTGCAGAGCTGCTCTCGTGCTTGCGCACTGTGCCATGTGTGCGTGCCCTGGCCTTCTCTAGGCTCAGGAGGATCGCAGGCAGAGGAGCTAATGCCCGAGATGCCCGAAACGAGCATCTGCCGCTCACAGCAGCGCGACGGGACCGCGCTCGGCGGGGCGGCCGGCGCCGAGGCACCAGCAGCAGCCGCAGCGCGAAGAGCCCGCCGTGGCCGAGGAGGACCGCCGCGGCCAACTTGCCGCCTCCGCGGCCAGGCCGCGCGGCAGCAGCGCCACGAGACCGCCGCGGCCAGGAGGCCGCCGCGGCGCCCCGTCGCGCAGTCGTCGGAGGCCGGCCGCGGCGCGGAGACCGAGGAGGACCCGCCCAGTGCGGAGGGCGGGGCCGGCTCGAAGGACCCCGCGCGCGCGGCGGAGGGGCGCGGCTCGGCGTGCGAGCCGCGGCGGGCGGCGAGGCAACCATTGGAGGCCTCCCAAGTGGCGCCCGAGCAGATGGAGGCGAAGGATCGCGCCGCATCGCCGATGCACCGGCAACAACGGCGATGCATCGGCGACGCATGGCGTGATAATCCTCCGGCCCTATCCACTCGGACCCCACCTGGGATGCCTGGAGCCGGGGAGTGCCTGGCGATCGGCGGCCACCGCGGCCCGCCCTAACTCGTCATCGTCGTCGTCGCTGTCACAGTTGCTGTTCGGCGGGGGCCGCGGAGAAAGACTTAATTCATTTTCCGCTCGTGGTGGGGTCCTGGTCCGTCAATGAGGTCGCCGAACAGTTTCCACTCTTTTGGGGGGGGGGTCCAAAGACGTCTTGGGATGACCCCCTGCCCGCGGCCGTGCTGACCTCGACCAGCGAAGAGGCAGAGGAGCAGAAGGCGGCATTCGGGCGTGCATTCACGGGGCGCGACAAGCGGAAGAGGGCCAAAGGCGCCCTTCTCGGGCCCCAAAAGCCCCCTTTTGCGCCCGAAAGGGCCCCTTTAGGTGCCCTAAAGGGCTCCTTGTCCGCAGCCCTCGCTGCCAGCCTACTCATCGTTCCCCCCTGACTGGAGATCTCCTGGATGGAGTCCGAGTAGACGGGGTTGGAGGGCCGCGCCGCATCGGCGATGCATCGGCGATGCATCGGCGATGCATTGGCGATGCATCGGCGACGTCGGCGTGCAGAAAATTGGGCCCCACATCGAGCCGCATCGCCGATGCATCGGCGATACGGCGCGATCCTCCGACACCATCTGCTCGGACCCCATCTGGGAGGCCTAGCCCTCGCTGCCTCCCTATTGGTCGTCCCCCCACTACTACGCGCCTCCCATGCATCGCCCCCTCCATTACGAGGAGAGGAGGAGGAGGAGGAGGAGGAGGAGGAGGAGGAGGAGGAGGAGGAGGAGGAGGGGAGGGGGAGGAGGAGGAAGAGGAGAATGAGGAGGAGAAGGAGGTCACAGCGCAGACTCCGAGGGAGGAGAGGAGGAGAGGAGGAGGAGGAAGAGGAGGGGGAGGAGACGGGAGGAGGAGGAGGAGGAGGGGAGGAGAAGGAGGAGGAGGAGGAGGAGGAGGAGGAGAAGGTCACAGCGCAGACTCCCAGAGTCGGGGCGCGCGGCAACAGCGCGCCGCGGGGGCAGCGCGGCGACAGTTCGGGCCCAAGAAGTCCGCGCGGAACTCTCGAGAGCTCATCTCGCCAACTGGCTCCAAAAAGCTCCAAAACGGTCCTCCTCCTCCTCCTCCTCCTCCTCCTCCTCCTCCTCCTCCTCCTCCCCTCCCCCTCCCCTCCTCCTCCTCCTCCTCCTCCTCCTCCTCCTCCTCCTCCTCCTCCTCCTCCTCCTCCTCCTCCTCCTCCTCCTCCTCCTCCTCCCGCCCCCCTCCTCCGCGACCGGTTGTTACTGTGGCCCGTTGGGTGCTAGTATGGCCCGTTGGGTGTTAGTGTGGCCCGTCGCGCGGCCGAATGGGAGTTACTGTGGCCCGCGCAGGCCGCTCAATGAAAAGTAACATGTAAAGGTATCTCATGTTAGATCTGGAGAGATTCGCAACCCTTAAGGGAATGCACTCCCGCGAACGCAAAAGTGGCCACAATAACTCCCACCTGGAACCAACGTGGTAGTAGTGCTGTGTTAGTGGTGTGGTGGTCGCTGTGCTGTGTTAGTGGTGTGGTGGTGGTAATGTTGTGTTAGTGGTGTGGTGTTGGTAGTGGCTGGTTGTGCTGTATGCTGTGTTAGTGGTGTGGTGTTGGTAGTGGTGTGCTGTGTTAGTGGTGTGGTGTTGGTAGTGTTGTGTTAGTGGTGTGGTGCTGATAGTGTTGTTGAGTTGTTTCTCGAGCGCGAAAGATACCCGTACCCTTACCCAGACGGGGTGGCAAGGGGCCCTCGGGGCATCACCCCCCCTGGGTCCGGGTCGGCTCCCGAAACCACCATACATACCCGTACCTAGACGGGGTGACCCACCCACCACCCCAGCTAGGTCCGGGTATGTATGGTTGTTTCGGGCACCGACCCGTACCCAGACGAGGTGGCGGCAAGGCCGAAAACGCTCTAGCGGGCGGCCCTTTTCACCCCAGCTGACCCCGGGTCCGGGTATGTTTTGGGCTAGTGATTGTTAGTAGGTAGTAGTGTTGTGGTAGTGGCAGTGGTGCTGTGGTAGTGGTGCTGTGGCAGCGGTGTTGTGGTGTTGTGGTTGTGGTATTGTGGTAGCGGTGTTGTGGTGTCGTGGTAGCGGTGTTGTGGTGTTGTGGTACTGGTATTGTGGTAGTGGTGCTGTAGTGTGGTAGTACCATGGTGCTGTAGTGTTGGTGTTAGGGAATGCCATTCATAGGGGGTACTAGTCCTAAGGAGTACTAGCCGTAGGGAGTGCTAGCCCCAGGGAGTACCAGTCCTAGGAATTACTACCCCTAGGGCGTACTCGTCCAAGGGAGTACTCGTCCTAGGGAGTACTCGCGCTACAGAGTACCAGCCCTAGGGAGTACTAGTCCTAGGGAGTGCTAGTCCGAGGGAGTGCTAGGAGGTGCCAGAAGAAGAGGCTCATCGGAGAGCCCAAGAGGCTCTTCGGAGAGCCCAAGAAGCGCTTCGGATGCCCCAAGAGGCTCTTCGGAGGCCCCACGAGGCCCTTCGGAGAGCTCAATAGGCTCTTAGGCGGCTGCAAGAAGGTCTTCGGCGGCTCCAAGAGGCTCTTCGGAGAGCACCAGAGGCTCTTCCCAGAGGCTCTTCGGTGAAGGGGGGGGGAGGGAGGAGCCTTTTTGGACCCCCCCCCTCACCGTACTCGAAAATTCATATACTCCGGAGGACCCCTGGCCATACTAACACCCACCGGGCCGCAGTAACAACCAACGGGCCGCAGTAACACCTTATCTCCCCCTGCTCCTCCCCCCTCTCCTCCTCCACCTCCTCCTCCTCCTCCTCCTCCTCCTCCTCCTCCTCCTCCTCCTCCTCCTCCTCCTCCTCCTCCCCCTCCTCCTCCCCCTCCTCCTCCTCCTCCTCCTCCTCCTCCTCCTCCTCCTCCTCAACCTCCTCCTCCTCTCCTCCTCCTCCTCCTCCTCCTGGAGGAGGAGGAGGAGGAGGAGGAGGAGGAGGAGAAAAAGTGGAGGAGGGGGAAGTGGGGGGAGGATGGAGGAGGGGGGGGGGAGGAGGAGGAGGAGGAGGAGGGGGGGTAGGAGGAGCAGGGGGAGGGGGGAGGGAGGAGGAGGAGAGGGGGGGGAGGAGGAGGAGGGGGAGGGAGGAGGAGAAGGAGGAAGAGAAAGAGGAGTTACGGAGTTACGGATATTGCGACCGTGTCGGTTACTGACTGACTGAGATTTAAACCCCAAATTGGCCCTGGCCCTCCGCGCCTTCTCGGAGGAGCTGTAGGCCTTGGGCCACTTGCCTGCAGAGATGTTCCTAAGGCAATCAGCTCAATTACCCGTGGCAGGTCCGAGGCACTCACCTCCGAGCTTCGCAATCTGCTGGGCTGCGAAACTGCCACGCCTGCCACAGAACCGAATTCCCAACCCAGAGCGAAACTTCAGTTGATGACTACTATGAGCCCATCCCCCACATATATGCACCCGACGCCCATGGGGGAGATCATATACAACGCCATCGACCGACCGCAGAGTAAAACACGGCGAATCCAACCAGGTTCGACGAGCAGCCTGGGAAGAGGAGCCTTGACACTGCAAACAGGAATTACCTTTTTCTGAAAGCACGCGCTGCGTGGAAAACGATGAACAAACCCTCGGAGCAGGGGGCCTGGGTCCAGGGTGCCTAACGCGGGCCCGCTGAGGCTCCTTAAGGGAAAGGTTCTGCTCAGCCTCAAGAGTCTGGAGAGTGCTGATCAGGATCCGCATGCGAACTAAATATGCTTGGTACTCTACATGAGCCACTCGGGCCCTCTCGTGCTCGGGGACTCTACAAACCTTGGCCCCCTCACCAGCGAATTTATCGGCAATGGTATTACCGACTACGTACAATGGTGGGGAACGGCCTGCTATTATATCCTTAGCATCCTGATGGGAAAACACGAACATGACACACACACACACACACCTGCAACGACGGGCGCGCGCGCAACTGCTGACCTATGGCATACCACAAATCACCGCCCTCGCCCTCGGGATAATGTGCTTTGCCTGCGTGCCAACCTTCACACACGTTCGCATTATCTGTCACATAATTGATATGCCCGTCCGCGCCGCGGATGGCCGTGTAGAGGGCATATAGCTCCCCCCGTCCGACCGTCTGGCGGCCGCCAGGCAAACCACCCCATGCCGCTGCGGCGATCTGCATGGGCTCAGCGAGCTCCGTGGAAGCTGCCAGGCCGACCCCCACCCGCCTCAAGCGGGGGTCGTGCGTGTCCTTGCCCCCGCTCGCGTCCCCGAAGATGAAGAGGGGGCTCTCCTCGCTGCCGTAGCCCAGGGCCCCCTGCTCGAAACCATTGCAGCCGTAGACGTGCCACTCCTCGCGCATCGCAGCCACAGCTGCAGGCACTCCCTCGGCATCTTGAGGGCGGGGTCCCTGCCATGCGCGCACAAGTCGAGGAGGGTGATGCAGCAGCGGTCCGACATACGTGGCGCTACCGCATCACACAGATATGACCTCATCGTTCTCATGCGACGGCCGAAAACCCCATGGAGTTGATGGGCGTAGAAGCCTGCAGCCAGAGCCCCTTGCTGCTCCAGCCGCGAGGTGAGCTGGTAGCGTCGTGCAGTCCTGGCAAGCCTCGCCACCTTGGCATGCATGCTCTTGTGCTTCTGATCCCGCACGCGCCGAACCGCACGGGCGTGACCTCGTCCCCCGCCAAAGTCGCCGCCCAGGTACGAGGCCTGAGCTGCGGCGCGCACGACAAACCCCTTCTGCCTGACCTTGCGCACGACAGCACGTGCGTCCGCTAGCTTAGTGCATACAACTACATTCTTCGTCGCAATGGCCAGCCCGTGCTGTTGCATCTGCTCGAAGGTCGTAATGAGACAGGCGGACAAGGCACGTGCCACCGCACGGCGAGAACCACAAACAACTTGACTCAAGTCGTCAACCCACAGCCGATGTGATACCCCCAAATGTGTGGATGTAATCCGCTGCATGATGAAAAACGCCACTATCTTGGCGAACCTGGCGCCCGCTCGAAGGCCCTGAACAATCGACCGAGTCGGAGAAACCGCCTCAGAGCATGCGCCCGACTGGCGCAGGCACCTGGCCGCCACGCACATGGGCAGCTCGAGCCCCAGCACCCCGGCTGGGAAACCCAGCCGCAGAGCTGCGTGCCCCAGCCGCAACCACCCGATCGTGTCGTAGAAGCTGGCGATGTCCAGCAGCCCGTGGCCGTGGGCAGCGCCCAGCCGCACCGCCAGCTCCTCGTCCACCACCCTGAGGAACGCCTCCTGGATGGCGGCGCCCCCCTTGATGGCCGCGTCCCACGGCGCCTCGCAAGCCTCGGTCCAGCTCTGGGCCCACGGCTCGCGCGCCTTGGACCACAGCCTCGCGACGCGCGGGAGCAGGCCGATGACCCTGTCGCCAGGAACCTTCTTCGGCAAGAGGGTGCCGATGGTCAGCAAGAGCTGGCGCGGCCAGCGCTGGAACACCTCGCGCGCGTTCAGGGAGACTGCCAGCTCGTCGAGGGCGACCAGGGGCAAGCGGTCCAAGTCCGTCGCCGTGAGCCTGTCGGCGCCCATGGCGGCGTTGGGCTTGAGCAACCTGCCCGCGCCCTTCAGCTGCTGGCCCGTGAGGTCTGGCAACCTCTCGCTCCGCACCCGCTCACGAATGTGATCGAACAACGTGTGCAGCTCAGAGAGGTCGTCCTGCATCGGTGGACTCCAGACTTTCTGCCAATGCAAACTCTTGGCCTCTAGAATATCCTTGGGGTGCTGAATGGTGGGCGACTCCTGCTCCAGCACATCTGGCGCTGCTGGCTGCGATTTGATAGACCTATGCAAACATGAAGCTGCCACCTGCGTCTCCATCCAGCCCCTGAACTCTGAAATGGACTGATTCACCGCTCTAGCCTGGCTCCGCTTGGCAATCCGTTCGCTGAAAGAAACGCCTGCCTTCAGCAACTCGTCGGAGCAGCCTGGGAGGTCGCCAAGAAGAGCAAGCCACTGCTGCCGAGAGAAAGGATCCCCTGGCCGTACAACTCGATGCCCCTGCTCGGGGGCTGACTGGTGCAAGCTGGTGCCTGCTGCTGCCAAAACGGCCCGCTGCTTCTCCCCATTGCAGCGAGCCCGATGACGATGGTAATGTGAAACAACTGTGTGCACGCGCGTCCACCACCCACTGATGGCGCCCTTCAGCGCAGCTACCCGAGCCGGCGTTGCCTCCAAAACGACATCAGCGCGAAACTTGGGAGCATCCGCGCGCGTGCGCCCAAGGGGGGCCCGAGAGTGAAGTGTCGATATGGAACTCTCAAGGGTCCGAACCTAGCCAGCGTGCAAGCCGCTGATGAAATAACAATGGCTGGAGCCAACCCGAAAGGCTACGGATGCAGCAACCGCATCATCGGGGGGGTGCTCCCCCGAAGCGACGAAGCCGATGGCACTCCTTTGTTGCTTCCAGAGGCTCTCTTCCACAGCATAGGGCACAACATTTCGGGGCAGCGCAGGCTTGACCAAACTCGATGGCTCAGTACCCTCGAAGCCAGGCTGCTCGCTTGGAACCGAACCCATAGCTGACGCCGATGACGGATGCTCCCAGGGCTTCGAATCGGGGCTAGTGGGTTCAGGGCTCCTGACTTGACTGTCCGACTGATGCAAGCCAGAGGAGGCGGCGAGCGCAGGCGGCGGGCCGAAGCCGAAGTTGGGCTCGTTGGCCCGCGGGTCCTCGTCCTCCGATTCGAAGCCCAGGAAATCACCATCATCAACGTCGCCGATACCTGTCTCGGCTTCGCTAACGACGGCCTGGGGCGGGGACGACACGACCATGGGCCTCGACCTCCGTTCAGCATGCAACCGATGCGTCCCCGCAAATCGTATTCGCGTGCTGCGTCGCGTGGCGTAATAAACATAATTGCTGCAAGCCCTTTTCTGCACTGCCTCATTGTCCATAACGTAAATCAGCGGTCCTCGGGTTCGCCTGAGAATAAACTCGAAAACTGAGAGCTCCCCTCGATGCAGTCTGCCGTCGGCCTGGCAAAGGACTCCTTCCTCCTCGGCCAAGCTCCAAAGACTTCATTTCATCAACGAGAGTGAAGCCTATTCCTATTCGGAGAAAGCTTGGCTTGTGCGTGTCCGCGCCTCCTGACGCATCTCCACATGCAAGGACTGGCCGCCCTTCTTCACCAATGGTTAAAAGGTTCGCCCCATCATCCTCGAACTCCGAATCTATAAAAGTCAATTATTATGCTGCTACTGGCGCTGGAACTGCAACCGAAGACAACGGGATGAATCCACGAAACCAGAAGCATTCGAATTGCTCATGCTGCGACACCGCTTCGCTGAAGCAACGATCATATTGCGCGCGCGCCTGGTGTCCTTGGTTCTGCGGGCACGTCCAGCATATATGGAAAAGGGTCTCGCGGCGTCGCTCTCCTCTGCTCAGGCATCTGATGCACAGCTGTTGCTCATCAATGCCTACAAATCGTGTCCTCGGCCATGTGCCTCCCACTGCTATCGCCAGCGTGAGCTCAGCCCAAGGTGCACCCTTGGAAACATCCCGAAGTTTCTTCAACATGAGTCGCAACGATATATTGTCAATGCCCTTCTCCATAGGAGGAGGAGGAGGAGGAGGAGGAGGAGGAGGAGGAGGAGGAGGAAACGCAGCGCAGCCGCGGCGCCAGCAAAGCGACACCGAGGGCCGAATCCCCGAACGTCGTGCGCGGCAGCGGGCAGAGCCGGGATCTCCACTTCAGTACAATTCCAACCGGTACAATGCATCTGCATACTCCCTGAGGGAAGCAGTTCAATACTCACTCCGGGAAACAATGCTCTACCGTTTGCACCGATTCGCAGGATTGGGAGACCACTTCAACCAAATTCGTCCCACAGATCAATCAAGCATTGTGCCATAGGAACTGAGCTGAGTGTCCACAAGTCTCTTCGAGTAATACTCATTGTGGTATCGAGGCCGCGCTTAATTTGTTTCAGCTTGCTGCCTGGGCATTCGCCTTCCGGCCCCAGGCCCTCGCTGCACAGACTTCTAGCCAGCATCGCGCCTACTACTCACACTACCATGCTTTGTCGAAGGGGCTTCATCTTGAATGCACCCTTCTAACAAAGGCCCTCCGAGCCTGTCGCCCCATGCATGTCCTTTACAGACATCCTTCCAAGGTAACTAATTTAGCAACATTTGTTCTTCGTACTCGCGTGGTGCTCAAATCAAAACTTTGGCTCAAATCCTCTTCTCTATTTCCGGATCAATAGTTCGAGCCCAGTTCGGCCATGGTGACAGTTGGACATCCTCCTGGCAGGGTTCTAACAGCACGAAGACAGTCTCAAGCTACCCTGGATCCACCTCACCAAATCCTGTCTGAACCAATCCCGACCAATTCAAGTATCCCTGCCAGTCCTATCCTAGCCATCGGACAACACGCAATATATTCGTGCGCTAATACGTCGTACTCCGTACGGAAGCCTGACGGTATAGACGCATCTGGCGTCGGCCGACAAGTAGCGGCGCGCACAAGGAGGTTGCGCGATAGGGCGGTCTTCTGAGAAAGCGACAAGGGTGCATCTGAGAAAGCAGGTGGCTTCTCAGAAACCCTCCTGGTTTCGATGAGAACCTTCTCGGAATCGATCAGCCGCTGCTGAGAAGGCCTCCTGCTGTTCGGTCTGGCATGTCCCCCTACAGGAAGATTTTGCCAGACAAATGACATAGCCAAATAATGCCCCAAAATGCACACACACACAAAACTTCCCCTGGACTTGTCTTGGCTATTCTCGAACATTCCTCCTGCAGAGGGACACACAACCGACTTCATCCTGCTTTCTAGGAGCGCCCACGCGCTCTGGAAGGCTGCCCCCCTCGCGCCGCTTCCCTGCGCGCGCCGCCGCGGGGCAGGCCTTCCACGGCCGATGCGGGCTTGCCCCCAGCGAGCCCCCCGCGCCCCATGCCGCCGCCCCCCTCGGAGCAAGGCGAGCGTTCTCTTGCGCGGTGTCTCGGCATTGTCGGGATGGCCAGACCCCCCGTTTAGTAAAACGTGGCTTAGTGAATACGACCTTGGGCCCAAACCTGGCGGGCGCAAGCCTGGAAAATGACGGCCGCGGCGCCCTCTCGAGTATCGAAAACGGAACATTAACTATTCGACGTGTCAAGGTGGGGTTCTGTCCACCCCCGATATTGGGCGAAAGGGGGGGGGAGGGGGGGGGTCTGGCTCTGGACCTCTGTTTAGTTCGACTGTTTGCAACCGTGCGTCACATGGGGGAGACTCCACCTGCCCGACACAGGCGCCCAAAAATGCCAAGATCTGAGGGGAGGGGGGTTGCGAAGGCCCGCGACGATCGGCAAAACACTGAATAAGAGAACGAACACAAAGCGAGCTGACACAACGGCAACTCAATATTGATCCCGCGGAGTGAGATGTCCCCGTCGTACTTGAGGACCGCATCCCATAGAGATGTTCGAGCACCCAGAAAAGGACCGTAACAGCGTCTGCCCGACAAGCTGGCGAAGTGCCGAACGAGCATCGGCTCCCAAGGCCCGGCGCGTGAAAACCCTCCCGTTTAGACACTTTCTTGGTGCTCGAAATTCCAGCTTGCGATCAAGTCTGCAGCAAGTTGGAACATCATCACCCCCGAGACCCTCGCGGGGTCCAAGCGCACCAGATATTCGAGCTGCGTCCATGCAAGCGACGAGTGGGCCCCCCGAGCCTCAACTACAGTTGTCTCAGCTGGCCCCCCTCTGGCCCCCCTGCCGGGGCGCTCCAGTGCGTGAACTTCCACTCGAAGAGCTTCCTCCACGACTCCTTGGCGGGCGCCATCCTGTCCTGCAGGGTGCCGTAGACGACCTCTGGGCGCCACTCGCGCGCCCCCCGCGCGGGGACGTGGGGCCGCGGGGACCAGGCTGCCCCCCCCCCCCTCTCGGCGCGGTGCAGCGCAGGTGGAAGGATGCCAAGGTCTGCTTCGTAGGGGTCTTGGGAATCAAATCGGGGACCGCCCCTCCCTCCACCAGCAGACTCTTGCTTGCATCGCCCCTCCTGTCCGAGGCCATTTCCCTCGCGCCCGCTCGAAAATGGTGCACTTCCAGCGTGGCAGCTAATGCCTGAACCTTCGTTCCACGCGTGCCCGCTCAAGGATGGTGCACTTCCCGCATGGCAACTATATGCCTGAACCCTCGTTCCACGCCTGCCCGCTTGAGGATGGTGCACTTTCCGCATGGCAGTTAATGCCTGAATCTTCATTCCATGCGCACATGCTCGAGGATTGTGCACTTCTCGCATGGCTGCTAACTCCTAGACCGCGCATCACACGCGCACCCGCGGAAGGATCGTGCACTTCCCGTTTTCGCAAGCGCTGCTCCCAAGCGCTCCAGGGCCTCCCAAACCACTGTTTTTCGTTAAGCAACCGTCGCCGCCTCAATCATTGCGACGAACCCGCCCTCCCACCTTTTCGATTACTGGCGAACTTTTACCGTTTGGCGACGGCGCGCCTCACCAGCGCTAGGTCGGGCATGTCCCCCTACAGGGGGATTTTGGACGAAAAATTAAAAAATTTGAAAAAATGCTCCCAAGGGTAAATACCAGAAAAATCGTCCCCATATTATCTTTTGATTATTTTTGAATCTTCCCCCCGTAGAGGGACACGCCCGGCTTAAGACCACGGCCTTCCCTTTCCGCCCCTGAAGGCGCCTGGGAGGCGCTCGCGGCCCACGCAAAAGTGTACGTGACCGGACCCTGACCCCCCCCACAGCAATCGGGGATGGACAGACGCCCCTTTAGTAAAACGTAGTTTTGTGAAAACGACCTGAGGCCCAAACCTGGCGGGCGCAAGCCTGGAAAACAACGTCCACGGCGCCCTCTCGAGAACCGAAAAACGGACAATTCACTAATCGACGTGTCACTGTTGGGGGTTTTGTCATCACCCCCCTCTTTGCCGCCCCCGAACTTGGAACCAGCAGCGGGCGCGCGTGGCCGAGTCGCGCCCTGACCCCAACAGTCTACGGCCGCGCACCCTCCCCGCTGCACTCCGCCTCCCACCGCGGAGCAGAGGGGAGAGGAGACCTCCGGCCAGGCGCTCCGGCCCCTCCCTCGGCAGGGACCCCACACTGACTACCTACCAGACCACCCCAACCCAACCCGAAGACCCGAATTCCGGGTTGGGGGGGGGGGCAAGGGTTCCACATGTGTTTTTTCGATGTTTCCCGACCCCCCCCCCTGGAAATCGGCGGTAAATCTGAGCCTTCGGGTTGGGTTGGGGTGGTTTGGTGGGTGGTGACGCACGGCCCTGGGGAGGATGCCAAGTCCCGCCCTCCAATCTGCCCTCCACGTCGCGTGCTGTGGATCAGCCGTCACCTCAATCATCGCGACGAGCCCGCCCCACAATGTTCGATTGTTGGCGAACTCTTTCCGTTTGGCGGCGGCGCGCCTCATCAACGCGCCTGGTCCACAGGCTGGCCGCCCAGACGCCCCAGCGCAGGGAGAAGAAGACTACGGTCTCCCCATTCCACCCATGACGGCGCTCGAAAAAGTTGTTTCTCCGGGTACACTGGTCGGTCCATTCCCCGGTGAGCTGGTCCACTCCCTGGCTGTAGGTTCTGAAGATTGTGAAGCTTGTGAACCTTTTCAAGCGCTCCTTGGAAGTTTTTAAGGCGCTCTTTGTCAGCTTTCCAGGCGCTCTCCGGCAGCTTTAACAGCGGTCATTGGCAGCTGTTGAAGCTTCTCGGCAGCTTTTATGGCGCTCCTCCGCACCTTTTTCAGCCGCTCCGTGGCATTCTTATACATACATATGTATATATATATATATATATGAAAGAAAGATAAACACTCCTTGGCAGTTTTTAAAAGGGCGCTCCTTGGCAGTTTCAAAAACGCTTCTCGGCTGTTTGTTTAGGCGCTCCTGAGCAGCTTTTACGGCGCTCCTTAGCTGCTCGTGAAGCGCTCCTCGGCAACTCTTATGCCGCTCTATGGTTTTTTTTTTCCGGGCACTCCTTGGCAGCGTGTAAGGCGCTCCTCGGCAGCTGTTGAAGCGCTCCTTTGAAGCTTTTAGCGCGCTCCTTGGGAGATTCAGAGCAGCTTGTAAACATACCCCTGGGATCACTAAGAACTCACAGAAGACATAGCCATCCGAAGAAACCCTTGAAGAGTCCTTAGGACTGCTCCAAGACGGCCACATACGCCCCTAAGAAACCCAAAGCGGCCCAAAGCGACCCCAAAGATGCCCCCAGAGACTCCCAAACGACCCCAAGAAATCACCAAGATGCCCGCGTAATTATAGGCGAATGGCGCGCCTTGATTTGGTAGCTGCTCAATGCCTTGAGGGCATGTGCCTTGTGCTGACACGTGGTGAATGCTCAAAGCCTCCGTGGACATTCGCACTCCTGTCTCGGCACTGAAACGGGGAGGGCGCATCCGCCCCGTGGCACTAGCAACGCCCTGGGGCGAGCAGAACGAGATGGCAGATCAGCGCGGCAGACAAGCAACGCAAACCACCCAACGCCCAATCGTTACGTGCTCCAGACGTGCACCCCGCGACAAAACAGGCATCCACGCCCAGAGGAGGTGACGTGCTAAGCGGCAGCGTGTTTCGGCGAACGCCTCAATGCCACGTACCCAATATATGGATGTGTTTGCGTAATTGCTGCACGTTGCATGCTGTTACATTATTAAATCTTCCCCCCTTACCTCCGCCCCCAGGAGTCGCGCCGACCAAAGATGGTGAAACCCTTCGGGGGCTCCAGGGCGTATAACAACTTATACACCACCAACACGTTGGGCCTCTTGGGGCCCAAGAAGGCCTGAAGACGGCTCAAGATGGCCTCCAAACGGACCAAGATGGCCGCAAGAGGGCCCACGACGCCCCCAAGACGCTCCAAGGGATCCCCCAAGAGCTGCTCCAGAAGCAAAGCGAGGATTTACCCAAAGGTTTTGCAATCGGTCCGCGTCCTCGCCTTTTTTCGACTCTTGGGGGCCCATGGCGGCCCAAACAACTTCCAAGATGGCCCCAGGACGGCACCAGAGGCCCCCAAGAGGACCCCAAGACGGCTCTACAGGGCCCCAGGGTGTCCCAGAGACGGCTCAAGAAGCCCCCCAAACGGCCTAAGAGGACCCCAAGAGAGCCACAAGCGGCTCCGAGAGGCCCCCAAGACGGCCTCCAAAGGGGCCATACAGCGCACAAGCCCCCAAAAGGCCCCAAGAGGCCCCACAGAGGCACCCAAGAAGCCTCCAAGGGCCCCCAAGAAGCCTCCAAGAGGCCCCAAAGACGCCCCCAAAGAAGAAACCACCAAGAGACCCGCGGAATTGCATACAAATGGCGCGTTGTTGCTATGCTCATCGGAATTTGAACTTGGTGTTTTCCTTCGCTGACACGCGGTGAATGCCCATTGCCCTTGCAATATAGTCGCGTTCTAGCCCAAGAGCTGCTCCAGAGGCCCTTACAGTATTGTCACGGTCTCGCAAGTTTCGACCCTCAGGGGCTCATGACGGCCCAAGCAGCCTCCAAGATGGCCCCAGGACAGCCCCAGACGCCCCCGAGATGTCCCAAAGAGGCCCCCAAGACTGCTCAAGAGGTACCCAAAACTGCCCAAGAGGACCCCAAGAGAACCACAAGGCGGCCTCGAGAGGCCCCCAAGACGGCATCCGAAGGGGCCAGACGGCGCAAGAGCGCCCCAAGACTGCCCAAGGCCCCAAGAGGCCTCAAAGAGGCCCCCAAGAAGCCCCCAAGGGCCTCCAAGAGGCCCCAAAGACGCCCCCAAACAAGAACCCGCCAGGAGACCCGCAGAATGGCACACGAATGGCGCGTAGCTGCTATGCCCATGCGAATTTAGAAGTTGGCGTTGCCTTGTGCTGACACGCGGTGAATGCCCATTGCCCTCGTGGACATTCGCACGCTCGCCCCAGATCTGAAACGGGGTGGAACTCATCCGCCCCCAGTGGCACTGGCAACGCCCCGGGGCGAGCAGAACGAGACGGCAGAACTTTGCGGCAGACGAGCAGCGTAAACCACTCAACCCCCAGTTTTTACGTGCTTCGGACGTGCAGCCCGCGAAGCGAGAGGAATCGTCATCATCACCATCACCATCATCACCACCATCACCATCACCATCACCATCACCATCACCATCACCATCACCATCACCATCACCATCACCATCACCATCACCATCACCACCATCATCAGCATCAGCATCATCAGCATCATCCGCAGCAGCATCAATATCGACTTTAGTACCAGTGTGAGTACCCGTATCATCATCATCATCATCATCATCATCATCATCATCATCATCATCATCATCATCATCAGCATCAACACCATCATCATCACCACCATCACTCACCATCACCATCACCATCACCATCACAATCATCATCACCATCATCATCATCACCATTACCACCGTCACCATCGCCATACCATCACCACCACCATCACCACCACCATCATCATCGTCATCATCAGCATCATCAACATCAGCATCATCAGCATCATCATCATCATCATCATCATCAGCATCGCCATCACCACCACCACCGTCACTATCGCCATCACCATCACCACCACCATCATCATCGCAATCACCAACACCACCACTCCTATCATTATCATCGCCAGCACCATCGTCACCGTCATCATCATCATCATCATCATCGTCGTTGTCGTCGTTCTCCTCCTCCGCATCCTCAGCCTCCGCCTCATCCTCATCAACATCAGCATAATCACAATCATCAACATCCTGATTCCTATCACCATCATCATCACCACCATCATGACCACAACCACCACAATTATCATCACCAACATCAGCATCATCAACATCATCAGTGTCGTCATCACCACCATCATCATCATTATCATCACCACCAACACCGTCACCACCAGCATCACAATCACCATCAACCCCAGCATCACCATCACCATTCACCATCATCACCATCACCATAATCATCATGATCATCATGATCATCATGATCATCATGATCATCCTGATCATCATCATCAGCAGCAGCATCAGCATCATCAGCATCATCAGCATCATCATCAGCATCACCATCATCACCACCATCAGCATCAGCATCAGCATCAGCATCAGTATCAGCATCAGCATCAGCATCAGCATCAACATCAACATCAACATCATCATCAACACGGCTCTCCCAAACCTGGAGACCCGGGGTTTCGCACGTGCCGGCCTCCCATGGTCTCTCGAAAAATCGCCACTCAGAAGGCTGGGCTGGCACGGCTGCGGGACGTGCCGCAGGGCGAATTGAGACAACAGCTACTCAGAATCGGTCCCTCGACCCCTCTGGGGTGTCTAATCGCACCAATTCTCTGAGCTGCGTCCAGCCTTGGCGACGAGGCCCCCCCCCCCGAAGGCCAACTACCGCTGTCTCAACTGACCCTCCTCATCCCTCCTCTGAACTCTGTTCGGCCGATCTTGGATCTCGCAGGACGACCCCCCGAGAACTCCACTAGTGGCTGCCAGGGTGCGTCGGGGAGCAGGAAGTGTCCGCGGGGCACCAGCTTGCAAGCGCCCTTCTCTCGTCATCGCTCGGACGTCTATTCCCCGTACATTTCTCGATTTCGTGCGTGCTCTTTTTTTTCGGGGAGACGTAAGACTCGGGTACGGGGGACTCGGGCTGGCCCGACGGAGCAATCATAAGAATGACGAGACCCAATCTGAAATTTGACGCGAGTCCTGCTGGCTTTGCACCCCCTCCTTCGTCGCTTGAAGCCTCCCAGATGGGGTCCGAGTAGATGGGGTCGGAGGATCGCGCCGCATCGCCGATGCATCGGCGAAGCGGCTCGATGCTGAGCCCGACTTTCTCCACGCCGACGTCGCCGATGCATCGCAGAAGTCCCTGATGCATCCACGATGCACCGACGATGCATCGCCGATGCATCGGCGATGCGGCGCGATCCTCCGACCCCATCTATAGAAGAAGAAAAATCGCCATAAACATAAATTGTTGGCGCTCCGCGCGGATTTCTTGGATCCGCGCTGGACGCCGCTCCCCGGCGCGCGGAGCGCGCCAGGGGCAGCGCCAGAGGCCGCCGGGGGGGCCCAGCGCAGATTCAAGAAATCCGCGCGGAGCGCCAACAATGTATGTTTATGGCGTTCTTTCTCTTTCGAATCTGGGAGGCCTCGACCTTCGTAGAGTGTCAGAATGCCACCTTTTCCGTCCTCACCTTGTCTGTCCTCTTTGCTGGGCGGTCGGACACGCGATCTGCTTTCAACGCCTTCTTACTTCATGTTTCTACCTATTTTTTCCGACCGATGGGTAGCCGTGTTTCTGGAGTCTGTGTCCCCCGTCCCGGGGCCGTGGCGTGCCCAAATACTTGGCATCGCTCAGACGTGTGCACTTTTTCGGGGGAACGTGAGGCTCGAGTGAGCCGGAACTCGGGCTTGCCAACTTTTTTGAGGAGCGCCCCCTGGATTTTGACGGTCCAGTTTTCGTGGGATGGGCACTCGGACCCCATGGGTACTCGGACCCCGTCTGGGAGGCCTCGAACTCGGAGGTCCGCGCAGATTTCTCGGAACGAGCGCGCCAGGGGCGGCGCCGGAGGCAGCGCCAGGGGGTCCCAGCGCCGATCCGAGGAATCCGCGCGGACCTCCGAATTTTTATGTTCCTGTCTTTATTTATTCCCCTATCCGACCCCATCTACTCGAACCTCTCGGCGGTGGACACACCTCCCTTTAGTAAACCACCCTTTAATGAAAACGGCCTGGGACCGAAACCGACGGACCTGGACCCGCAAAAATGGGGGCCACGGCGCCCTCTCGCGAACCGAAAACGGCCAATTCGCTGATCGACGTGTCAGGGTAGGAGGTCTGTCCACCCCCGAACCTCATCCAGGAGGTCTCTAATCATGGGGGGACTGTGGATGGGGGGGGCAGCGAGGGCTGCAGAAGAGGGGCCCTAACGGGGCACCCAACGGGGCCCTTTGGGGCACCAGAGGGGGCCTTCAGGGCCCGAAAAGGGCACCTTTCGCCCCCCCCCATTCATCACGCCCCAGTAGTCTGGGACCCCATCTGGGAGGCCTACCCATCGGTCGGAAGAAGTAGGTAGAAACGTGAAGTAGGAAGGCGTTGAAAATAGATTCGCCCCCTGAAGAGGAGGGAAGAGCGGAAGCCACTCGATCATTGAAGGAGGCTGCTTCTCAGAAGGCGCCAGACTTACATCTACGTCGAAGGCTTGCGCCCTCTAAGAAGCAGGGGTGCTTCTAAGAAGCCTTTTCCCCCTCCCCCCTACCCCCTTCTGCGCGCGGCCGACATCTGCTCGGACCCCATCTGGGAGGCCTAGACCTTCGTCGCAGGGCAGAGTCCCACGGCCTCTGGGGCCCCTCGCGGGCAGAGGGGGCGGACCCTCCTTCTCCTCCGCCGCCTCCTCCTCATCCTGCTCCTCGTCCTCGTCCTCTTCCTCGTCCTCCTCCTCCTACGTACTTTGTTTTGATATGTTAATTTTTCCGCCCGACATCCGCCTGTAGGAGGACATGCCGGACCTAACGCCAAGACCTTGAGTTATCAATCGGGGGCGCGCAAACATGCATCAGCGATCCATGGATTTGGCGCGCGGTCGCCAAATTCATGAATCGGGGGAGGTGCCCTCCCCAAAATGCGGCCGGTGCCGGCTCTCGCCAAGACCTTGAGTTACTGTATCCACGTGTCCACGCGTGTCTCGCCAAGAACATCATCAGGGCGGGGGGGGGATTGCCCCCTGAGCGGCCTCGCTCACCTCCCCCTCGCTTTTTCAGCAGCGTCCTCTGCCCTTTCCTCCTCTCCTCCTGCACGGTGGCGCAACTCGCTACAACGGCACCTCCGTTTAGGCAGCTCATCGAAAGCGCAGTTACCCTGCCTAGCCGCCGGCGCAAAAAGTGTCTCGCCAAGACCTTGAGTTGACAAAACACGTCGGACCAGAATGCACATCCCCCCTCCCCCATATCCAAAGTCCGCAGGCCACAGGCTTGGGCGGCAGGCCACAGGCCAGGGACAAGATGTGGCCACTCGACCTTGGGTTCGGGTGGGGGTGCGAAACAACGATAGTTCGAAGGTGTGGCTGCTATCATGCTGCGTGGCCTTACCGCCGTGGGTGCGGACCCTTCTTGCCCGGGCACCGCCCCGTCTGCGCGCGCGCACCTGCTGCCCCCGACCAGCCCGCTGCTGCATCCTCCGAGCCAGAGGCCGCCCTCCTCCTCGTCCTCCTCGTCCTCCTCGTCCTCCTCGTCCTCCTCCCTCCTCCCTCATCCCTCCTCCCTCCTCCCTCCTCCCTCCCTCCTCCTCCTCCTCCTCCTCCTCCTCCTCCTCCTCCTCCTCCTCCTCCTCCTCCTCCTCCTCCCTCCTCCTCCCTCCTCCTCCTCTGGTAAGGGGGGAGCCGCGGCTGCCCAACTGGCCGGAGGCACAGGCCGTGCCTCGGGCGCCTCCCGCCGGAGCACGGCCACGCCAGCGCCGCTTGCTGCCTGCTGTCGCGAGCCCGCCTGCTGCTCGGCGGCGGGCGAGGGGGGGAAGTGAGAGGGGGCGGGCCTTCTCAGACGGCTCGAAGTCCCCCGGCCTTCGGAGTAGTTTTCTGCACCCTTCCCAGAAGAAGCAACAAACCTCTCGGAAGGCGCGAGGGCTCCTGAGAAGTCCCGCCGCGTTCTGAGAAGGCCTTCTCCTTCGCACTTCCCCCCCTCGCTCACCGCCGATGTTCGGTACCTGCTGTCGCGAGCCCGCCTGCTGTGGCGCGGGACGAATCTGCCCAGCGGGAGAAGCGGGCGAAACACGCGGTGGGCCTGGAAGCTGAGGGTGGTGACGGCCGCGGTGAGCACGGAAGCACCTTGCGGCAAGGGTGGGCCATCTGGTCGGCAGATGCACGCACCTCTCCACCGACCTTCGGCCCAACTTCTGTGCTACAGTCGGACCTAGGCCAGCAGAATATGTTCCAAGAACATGAGACCCTCCGCCGGACAAAACACCCCATACGATAAGATCACTCGAGGGTACACTCTCCCAAGATACACAAGAACATCCAACAAGCACGAAGAACACTAGGGTACCATCCGCAAACCGACCTCGATCTTATGCCTCAGTCCGACTGTATGGGCCGTGCGTATAGACTTCGAGCTTGAGGTGCCCAACATCTGCGCACCAGCCCATTCCCCCTGGAGGGGTCAACCTCGATCGAATGATGGCACATTGATTGAAATCTTGGCGCCGACAAGTTAACCATCTAAATATTGCCACCACATCCCAAGTCGAGACTACCCAATCGCAGGAACTCCAAGAAAGAAGAACACCCCATGCTCCCGGCTTGAAACTGAAGGACACGAGGCTGGGATTCGAGAAGGTATCACTCAATCCTGCATAGTCAACATGGAGACTGGGAGGAATGGGCGCCGTTCGCTATCCTGGCAGTAGAGAACACCGCATACACTTATTCTTTCGGAGGCCCGCGCGAGTTTCTCAGATCGGCGCTGGAACCCCCTCCCTGGCGCACGAAGCGCGCCAGGGGCGGCGCCACAGGCACCTTCAGGGAGGTCCAGCGCCGATCTAAGACATCCACGCGGACCTCCAAACATTTCTGCTTATGCGGTTGCAATAATCCTTGTGCGAAATGATCGAGCCAAATAATGGAGGGCGGGGTGAGCGCAAACCTCCGAATGTTTCCTCTGATGCCTGTTATCTGGTTCGAAATCGCTTCGTCGCTGACTCGAGGTCGCCCTCCCAGCGCTCTGCTGCCGAGCGTGCCTCCAGGGCGGATGCTTAGAGAGCGCTGTGGCACGGCACGTCGCTGACACACCGCCAGCGGCAGCAAACACGTGTCCCCGAGTACTGCCGTTGCTGCTCGTGCGTGAGGCAAGTCGCCGATGCCTCAGATGCACGGGGATGTCCGCATGCCTGGTGCTATCCTCGCCACCGCTCGGACGGCCACTCCCCGTGCACACTCTCGATGTCGGGCGTGTATTTGCTTCGCGAGAACAACCCTGGATGCTGGTCGATGGTCCTCGCCGAGAAAGATCGAGGAACCGTAAGACTCGGGTACGGGGGACTCGGGTTGGCCTGACGTCAAAATCCAGGACGCACTCCTCAAACAAGTTGACAAACCCGAAATGTGTTTTACTCGAGTCGTACGCTTCCCCGAAACAATATGTCGCGGACGTTGTGGTCGGAAGGCAAAGCCACAAGTTTTGGCAAAGTCACCCCAAAATTGTGGGCAAACATTGGCAAGTTTTGACTTTTGCCAAAACGTTGTGGCCGGAAGGCAAAACCAAAGATTTGTTACTTCTCACGCTGTCGGTGGAAGCCTTTGCCACGCTTGTCGGTGCACACGTCCGAACGATGCCAAATCTCTGGGCACACCACGGCCCCAGGACGGGGGGCGCAACCTCCAGGACACGGTTACCCATACCCATCGGTCGGAAGAAGTAGGTAGGAACCTGAAGCAGGAAGGTGTTGAAAATAGATTGCGTGCCCGCCCGCCCCCTGAAGAGGAGGGAAGAAGGGAAGCCACTCGATCATTGAAGCAGGAAGGCGCTTAGAGTATATTGGAATATGGGAATCAACAGATACCTACTTTCAACAAACTATGGGTACCACTATATCATTCACCATAGTGTGGCTTCTACCCATCGGCAGGAGGCAAGCCGATCCACGGCAGTCATCGTTACCACCGAAGCAACACTTCGCAGAACTGCTTCGAATCGCTGAGGCCAGATCGCAACATTGCGTGAGAGACGCCATCGAATAATTCCCTACCTAGGCTCTGCCTAGAAGGGTTCTTATTACTCTCTAGCTTAAAGGGGCCGGGCAGTGGAAAGCGCCCCCGGCGGTTCCCCCAGTCCCCTGGGAGCGGTTCCCCCCAGTCCCCTGGGAGCTTTAGCTTTAGCTTTAGCTTTAGCTTAGCTTTAGCTTAGCTGTAGCTTAGCTTTAGCTTAGCGTTTCGCTTAGCTGTTCGCTTAGCGTTTAGCCTAGCTTTAGCTTAGCTTTAGCTTAGCTTTAGCTTAGCTTGAGCTTAGCTGTAGCTTAGCTTTAGCTTAGCTTTAGCTTAGCTTTAGGTTAGCTGTAGCTTAGCTTTAGCTTAGCTGTTGCTCAGCTTTAGCTTAGCTTTAGCTTAGCTTTAGCTTAGCTTTAGCTTAGCTGTGGCTTAGCTTTAGCTTAGCTTTAGCTTAGCGTTAGCTTAGCGTTACTGTTACTACTAATGCTGTTTTCCTAGGGGTTCCAACTCCTAGGTAGGGTCGCACTGGGATAATTTAAATTCATTCACGCATCCGTCGAACACTGCCGCTCACACTCGACCGTAGACGGTGAAACCTACGTAGCATGTCATGAACAAAGAACACAACTACTACACTAATGCTTAAACTCGCCCAATGAAGGTCGCGAACCGTGTGCCGCAACCCCCGTCACGCTTCTTTCGACTACGCCGCTAGTCCACCGAAACGTATAGAGTATTCAACCCCGTGTCGCTTCGACAACATAGTATGCAATATCGTCAGGCCATCCCCGTCTGTAGTCTAGTGCCTGTGACGAAACACGCAAACATTGTTACCAGTTTCGAATTAACGGGTGGAGGCGCATGATCCCAATCATTCTCCTGTTCGTGTATACAGCCGTGCGCTTGCGCGAAGGAGAAAACTCTAATACTGCTGCTGGTAGTGCGCTGGGCGTGTGCAAGTTCAGTGGGACAGGATGCTTCTGATTGTAGCTCCACGCGCAACATCACACTTTCTGACTCCCGCGAGCACACATGAACATGCTGCAAGCTCCCTTGGAGCGCTCGAACAGCTCCCCGACGTTGCGCGTGTCCTGCGGGGAGGCAGGTAACGATGCAACCCTACACACTTACATCAACACCATGCTTGGGCGTGAGTGTCCGAATGCGCACGCGTGCTAAAACTTGCGTGTGTTGAATTGCGCTCGGTGTACTCGCTCGGGCTCTACACCGCTGCCATGCACACTGCGACCAGGCATACGTCTTGGTCGCGAGTCGTTCGCGCCTACTTTGCAACTGCCTCAAATGAGACCTTGTTTCAATCAAATCTAGCCCCCCCCCCCCCCTCAGCTGCCTTTGCTCAATCGCATACATCGATCGGGCATCACTGCCCCCTAAGCACTCCTAACATTGGTGTAAGCACATGCTGGTCGTCGGTTGTGTCTGGACCCTCGAGGCGTATGGAACACAGCAAGAGATGCTGCATACCGCTGGCGAACATGAGACGTGATAAGAAGGCCTGACCACCGCACGAAGCCAAACAAAGATCATGCAACTCGACTTCTGCAATATTGTTCCACCGGTGGTACGGACAGGGTGCCGAGTTGCTATCTTTACCCTCTTCGCTGTGCCGCCCGAGGCTGAGTCAGTGCCCCGCTTGAACATTAAAGCAGAGCAATTGTACTTATCGTCAAACGTTGCCAGCCTTCAAGTGTGTTGCAACGTGTTGCGCTTGCATGCGGACACAACTCGCCCGAATGACGGGTGCTCGATACCATCATGGCACATTGTCGAAAACAAGGCAAAGACAAACTATTGTTACTAGTACGGCTTGACGCACTAATACGCTCGTGACGAACTAGCACGACGCTAAACCATGACGGAACGACAGGTCGCGGGTTACCGTTCAGCTTCGCTTTGCTGTGCTTTCACATTGTGTGTTTGGCCGTATTCTGTTTTGCAGCGCAGCGAGGCGCAGCGCATTGATCTCTTTGATCTGCGTTGAGCTTTTGTGAGTTGTCTGGGTTTGACTACGACTTGCACTGCATGGCTTCGCATTGTATTGTGCTATGTGTTCCCAACCATCCTGTGGTGTTGGGTCCTCGTTTCGAGGAGGCAATCCCCGCGTCTCCCCTCTCCTCCTCTCCTCTCCTCTCCTCTCCTCTCCTCTCCTCTACTCTACTCTACTCCACTCCTCCTCCTCCTCCTCCTCCTCCTCCTCCTCCTCCTCCTCCTTCCGTCAACCCCTCCACTTTGGCACACCCCTCACACGCTTCGTGGCCCAATAGGTAGCTCCACCGAAGGCTCCAGTGGCATGGTTCGCAAGCCGCCCTCCCTCCACCTTGGCACACCCCTTGCGCGTTTCGTGGCCCCATGGGGAGCTCCACCGAAAGCTCCAGTGGCATGGTTCGCATGCCACCCCCCCCTTCACTTTGGCACAGCCCTCACACATTTCGTGGCCCCATAGGAAGCTCCACCGAAGGCCCCAATGACATGGTTCGCCCCCTCCACTTTGGCACACCCCTTGCATGTCGCGTGGCCCCATAAGGAGCTCCACAGACGGCCCCAATGGCATGGTTCGCATGCCGCCCCCACACGTACACTTTGGCACACCCCTCACACGTTTCGTGGCCCCATGATGGGGGCTCCACCGAAGACCCCAGTGGCATTGTGCGCATGCCGCCCCCCGTACAATTTGGCACACCTCTCACACGTTTCGTGGCCCCTTTCAAAAGCTCCACAGAAGACTCCAGTGGCAGGGTTCGCATGCTGCCCTCCCGTCCACTTTGGCACACCCCTCACACGTTTCGTGGCCCCAGACGGAGCTCCGTAGAAGGCCCCAATGGCATGGTTCGCATGCCGCCCCCCCTCTATCTCGGCACACCCCTCACACGTTTCGTGGCCCCACGGGGAGCTCCACCGAAAGCTCCAGTGGCATGGTTCGCATGCCGCCCCCCTCCACTTATGCACACCCCTTGCACGTTTCGTGGCCCAATAGGGAGCTCCATGGAAGGCCCCAGCGGCATCAATCGCGTGCCGCCCCCATCAACTTTGGCAGACCTTGCATGGTGACCCCAAGGCCTCACCGAAGCCGAAGGCCTCAGCGGCCCATTGCGGCGCACCCTTCGCGCGCTTCGTGCCCGTAGGCAGCTCCACCGGAGGCAGTTCTTACACTGGCGGTATTCCAAACTGCATATGGGTGGGCCCTTCGCCAGGATATGTTTGCAGATGTTGCTTTGCACTGCACGTGCATTGGCCGTACTGAACCGCATTGCTCTGTGCTGCTTTCTAAAGAGTGCCTTTGAGGAATGAAGGTGGGACAATTCACGAACCAGGGGGCACTGTCAAGAAACCTAGCTCGAATTACACTTACCACTTGCCCTCCTGCGCAGTGAAACTCAGATCTCTCACGCACAGCCTACTGCTGGGAAGCGGTCATGGATGGTACCACGCTGGCTTGGCCTTTCCAAAATGCTGAACTTACACTTGTCCTCAGACCCACCCTCCTGGAGAAGAATTATCATCACATTCTTCAGCATGAATGAAATCGCCATGTACAAGGTCATGATGCCGACGATTACGTGGGTGTTGACGAGCCTCACGATGTAAGCGAGCCCGCTGAAGAACAGCTTCCAGAAATCACGGAGATCCTCTGGGGCGCTTCAAACTTTGTGCTGCAGGAGCTGCTAGTGGGCGCAAGAGGTCGGTTTTGCAATAGGCGCCTCAAGGATCAGAAGCGGAGGAGAAGGAGAGAGCAGGAGCCGAAGCTGAAGAGAATGAGGACTAGGAGGATGAAGAGAGAAAAGGGGGTGGGCCAAGACGAGTTGTTTGTTATGATGGCCACTGGGGGAAACGCATATACATCACAACATCATGCGGCCTCGCGGGCCGCGATCCTCTGCCTGAGGACTCCCAGCCCAGGGAAAACAAATCACTGCCTGGGGCTCCTTGCCCAGGCTGTTGGAGGACAACCATCTGCTAGGGAGGCCGTTGATAGAAGGAAAAACAAAAACACTTAAACATAAACTTGTGGCGCTCCGCGCAGATTTCTTGGATCCGCGCCAGACCCCTTTCCGTGGCGCGCGGACCTCGCCAGAATCGGGGCCGGAGGCGGCCCCTGTAGAAAATTGCAGAAGAACACGCGCAATAAACATAAACATTTGGCGCTCCGCGCAGATTTCTTGGATCTGCGCTGGACCCCCCTCCCTGGCACGCGGAGTGCGCCAGACGCGGCGCCAGAGGCGCCGCTGGGGGGGCCCCAGCGCGGATCCAAGAAATCCGCGCGGAACGCCAACAGTTTATGTTTATGGCGTTTTTTGCTTCTTCGAGGTATGCAAAAGTCTGACGCTTTCCATGGCGCTCCGACATATAAAGCTCGGCAGCACAGATATTCGACGCTGTGGCATGGCACTCGTGATAGATGAAGGTCACTGGGGTCCAGGCGCCACCGTCGAAACACTCCACTTCTCCGCACCTGGAGTCCACCGACGATGGACCTTAGGCTTCCTAGGGAAGTGAAGGACAAGAACAAAAAAAGGTAAGGACCGAACCCGTCTCGCGGATCAAAGCGCCGGCCGTATCGATCAGGGCCGCAAAATTCCCCCAAATCCCAAGGTCACCGCGAGCATGCGTCACAAGAGTTTCCTTAACGAAACGACCAGAATCAACAGATAAGCTCGGCCAGTTTTCCTCTCCTCCGAAGGGAGCTTGTCGATTATACATACTTTTTTTGTGCAAACGCGTGCGCTGCTGGCCCTGTAGACCCCGCGCTGTCGAATCGCCGGGAAATCCGACGGAGGCCCAGGGTCATGCTCCGTGGACAGCTGATTGTGCAACTTGACAAAACCCAAACAGGAAGAATCCGCTGACTCCCGCCTGCCGGGGGTGAGAAGGCGTGTGAGATGATTGGCTGCCCCCCTCTTCTGTTCCCGCTCCCCCCAGGTTCCACGACAATTCAAAGAGGGGCACAAGACGGCCAAAAATCGCCCCAAGACGGCAGCATGAGAGGCGAAGAGAGAGAACACGAACCGAAAATCCGATCTTCCCGCCCGAAGGTCCACAAAGGCCCCAAGAAGCCTCAAGCGGCCCAACAACATAAAAACAATAAGGCCCAAAAGTGTCCAGGAGGGCCCAAGAGGCCCCGGAAAGGACGCCCCAAACACGCTTCACAACGACCCACAAAAGGCTTTGCCAGGCCCCCAAACAGCTCCCAAAACGCCCACACGAATCCCCAAATGGTGCCCGAAAGCCCGCACTCCACGCCTTTTTGGTGGTCGGCAGAATCGCGTCAACCTCTCCCATTGGCGTTAGCCATGTGCCGCGCAAAAAAAAAAAAACTGACGCCCATAATGGCCAGATGCTCGGCTGCCTGACGTGTCTGCGGCAGGCCCGCCCACGCTGGGCCTCGAAAGCGCGCGACCACCCCGTCCGCCCCTTCTGCCAAGAACGCTCCTGCATAGGCAGCCCTCGGGAGATCGCCGATCGACGCCCGGAACACGACCCATCGAAAACGACATTGGCAGCCCGATCGAACATCGCGAAATCGGCGAGGACTTGGCCGTCGGGGCCCAACATCTGAAGGTGCAAGGGGTCGGTGGCGGCTGGAGCGACGGGGCAGGATGACGGGGGATGAGGGGGTCCAGAAAAGGGTAGTCGGAGCCAACCGCAAGCGCCTCATGTCTCAGCTCAGCCTCTGCCGCCTCCCCTTTCTCAGCTCTAACATCGAGGTGGGCGCAGTCGCGCAGCGCGTGATGGAGGCAAGCACACCGCGCGCAGGGCGCAAACCGTCCGAATAATCTCCGGAATCTGCTTTGCAGAAATCACGTGTCGCGCAAACGTGCCGCCTATATGCGCGCTTCGCAAACGCGCAGCCCGCTCTGCGCGCAATGTCCGCGCGCGCGTGCCTCGGGAAGACGGCGCGCACAAAAAAACGCGCCGCGCTCACGCTCGCGCTGCGTCGCGTCCGTCAGGAGAGACTTGGGGGGAGACGCCGCCGTGGTAATATGTATTGTGCATATATATATATATATATGTATATATGTATATATGTATATATGTATATGTGTATATATATACATATACATATACATATACATATACATGTACATATACATGTACATATACATATACATATACACATACACATACACACACACATACATACATATATATACACTAAATTGCACTGGGTGTTCAGAGTTCCGACCACTTCATTCCGCGTCGCACCCCCCCTGGGGCGCCCGCGCCGTGGCTCTCTGCCCCGAACCCCCCCCCCGCGTCCCCAGCGCCCCAGCGGAAACCCTGTCCATAGCCCCCTCCGCGACGAACGCTTCATTCCGCGTCGCACCACTCCAACCCCGCCCCCCCGCGTCCCCGGCGCCACAGTGGGACCCCCGCGCCGTGGCTCTCTGCCCCAAACCCCCCCGCGCCCCCAGCGCCCCAGCGGGGGCCCCGTCCATTGCCCCATTCGCCACGAACGCTTCATTCCGCGTCGCGCCCCCCCCCCTCCCCGCGCCCCCAGCGTCAGAATGGGGCCCCCGCGCCGCGGCTCTGCGTCAGGGGCGGGGGCCTCGTGGACGGCCAGAACTCATGGGATGTCTCAGGCGACATGCTTGCGTTCACGTGCCCAGGTCGCCAAGTGGGTATCTAACAAGGGGGGGGGCGGGCCGAGGCAACCATCATTGGCCTAGAGATCTGCCCGCAACTCTCTAGTTCGAACAACCGCAGCATCGAAGCGATGACGATGAGGAGGGGCGGCGGATGGGGGGGGCCTTCGGCCGCAGCTGCGTAGGCCATCTGGAGGCCCAGGCTTATTCGGTCGCGGCTGCTTCGGCCCTGCTTCGTTCCTCGATCCCCGCCGCGTTCGTCGGGGCCCAGATCTTTTCAAACCTCCAAAGACGTCCGCCCGCGCGGGGGCGCGCGCTCGGCTCCCGGGGGCCCTGAGTCAGCCGCCGTGGCGGCCGCAGACTTCCACCGTGAGTGGGTGGACTCCGCTACCAACGCGCGGTGCCCAGAGGAGGAGGAGGGAGAGGGAAAGAGGGGGCGAGGGAGGGAGGGAGGGGATGAGGCAAGCTAAGTGCGCTCGCGTCGTCCGACATCCCACCCCTCCCTCCCATCCCTTCTCATTGCGCTACTTCATCGTCCCGGGGCGAGAGCCCTGCGACCCCCCAGAGGCTCCCTGGGGCCAGGGGAGGGGGCAGGAGGGGGGAGGCACGGCTACTCCGAGACCGCCCGGACGTTCACCCGCGGAATACGACGACCTGTGGCAGGGCACTCCGCCGCCCCATTGTCGTCGTCCTCGTCGGTCGGCTGCTTCGGCCGTGCAGGTACGTTGGATGCGCCTGGTCGTCGTGGCGCGCAGGCACAAGCTGACGGGGTGGAAGGAGGCCGCCATGGGAGGGAGGAGATTGGCAGGAGGGCGGGAGGGAAGGATGGACCCTGGCAGAGGAAATCCGATCCTCCCCCGAGGCCCCTCCCTCCCTCCCGCCCGCCCTCCACTCCCGAAGGGCCTAGTGATGAAGCTACATCGCGGACGGTTCCTTCAACCCGGGGTGGAAGGGGACCTGGTGGAACCAGGCGGACACGATCCCAGGAGGGAGCTCGTCGTCGGCGTGGGCACCGAGCGGCGGCTACAGCCCCTTCTGATGGGGCCCGGGCGCATGGAGCGCAATCGGTTGCTTCGGCCGTTTGTCTCCCACTAAGCCTAAATCATCGCCCCTCGAGGTGGCCTAAAACACCTCCCTCCTAGTGTCCCTGTTCCTCCCCGCCCCCCTGCAACTTAACGCAGTGTAACCTGTGGGTGCGTTGGGGTAGCCGCGGGGGGGCTAATAACTCACGTGCAATATGTGTACCTATACGACCACCCTTGGGATGATAAAGAGGTTCGGGGAGGGGGGAGGAACCAGCGTCTCACTCGATCGGTCTCACTATCGATCTCGTCATCGATCTCACTATCGGTCTCGCTCGATCGATCTCACTCGATCAACTCACTATCGTTCGACCATTCTCACATACGATCTGACTATCGATCTCACTATCGATGTCACTATAGATCTCACAATCGGTCCCACATCCGGTCTCACGATAAATCTCACGATCGATATAACAATCGATCTCGCAATCAACGTCATCATCATCAACTCCATCGTCATCAACGTCATCAACATCATCATCATCAGCATCGGTACACCATCATCATCATCACCTCACCACCACCATCATCAACATCATCACCATCATCATCATCAACGGGGCACCATCGCCGTCACCATCCTCATCACCCACATCATCGTCATCGGGGTACCATCATCATCAATGGAACACCACCATCATCATCTCATCATCATCAGGAACAACATCATCAATATCATCACCATCGGGACGCCATCATCAACAGCATCATCATCAACATCAGCATCATCATCGGGACACCATCATCATAGTCCCCATCACCATCACCGTAATCATCATCGGGGCACCATCATCATGAATCATGATCACCCCCTCACCATCATCACCATGGTCGGGCCACCATCATCAAAATCATCAACATCGCCCCGTCCCCATCCTCATCGTCATCGGGGCACCATCATCGTCATCGTCATCAACATCATCATCACGGGGACACCATCATCACCATCACCATCATCATCAACGACGTCACCATGAACCTCATCATCCTCGGGACACCATTATCACCACCATCATCCTCTCATCATCACCAACATCATCCATGATCATCAACATCATCATCATCAGGACACCATCATCAACAACATCATCATCAACAACATCATCATCGGGACACAATCATCATCACCACCGTCACCATTATCATCATCATCATCATCATCATCATCATGATCATCATCATCATGATCATAATCATCAACCTCGTCAGAATCATCATGATTACCGGGACACCACCCTCATCATCACCATCACCATGATCAGCATCAACATCATGGACATCATCATCATCATCATCATCATCATCATCATCATCATCATCATCATCATCATCAACATCGGGCCACCGACGGGACACCGGCGGGACACTGGCGGGACACCGCGCGGCACCGGCCCCGGGAAAGGAAAAATTCGGTCTGGCCGCGCCTCAGCCGGAGGCGGCACACCGGCGGGACACCGCGCGGCACCGGGCCCCGGAAAGGAAACAATTGGTCCGGCCGCGCCTCAGCCGGAGGAGACTTTCTTCTCGCCCGTCCACTCAGCTTCGCCTCGCCCGCACGCACGGCACGCACGAACACGAAACCGAAACCGATTTCCCGGTAGGGGGGCTCTCCGTTCCACTTCGATCTCACCCCCTCACCTCCGCTGAATTACAGGCTTGCGGAATCAATGCGGCTCCGTCCAATTGTCATCCACGCTGTGCATGCAGCAGCGATGATACCCATGCACCCGCACCGCTACCACTTGTTGATTCATCATGTGCGCTTGCCACTTGGCAGCCCCATATAACCTCAGCGTCTTATCATCGACACCACTGCCATCTATTTAACGGAATGATGCGTTGATCGGAGAGTGGTCGAGGAGGGGGAGGAGGCAGACGAGGAGGATTCGGACACTCTCGTGGGCCTTTGGGGGACAACTTAAACTCAAGGGGACGTCCCGAGCAACCCGATTAACTACGCCAACAAGCAAGGGGACAACTTAAATTCAACTTAAAAGCAAGCCTTTGGGGGACAACTTCAATTCAAAGGGAGGCCCCGAGCAACCCGATTGACTACGCCAACAAGCAAATTATACAATCCAACAACATGCAACTGTACGCGACGCCGTGGGGCTTTTGATCGGCGGCGGCGCGCGCCGTCGAGACATCGACGGACCCGTGAGGAGGCGGAGGATGAGCTGTTGCATGCGATGATGTGTTATTGTATATGTTGGTATGCTATGCTCTTGTATGCAATGCCATGCTATGGAATGCCAGCACATGTTGTTCTACGAATGAATGTGTTCGGGCGCGCGCCTCGGGGGTAATTTGATCGCCCGGGGCCTCGAAGGCTGAACCTCAGGAGACGGCGACGCCCGAGCTAGAAAAATTAACCCAAGCGAAACCAAATATCAAAACATAAAGAAGAATCATGAAAATGAGTAGTCCTGGCCGACCCCCACACAACAACGTCGGCACCAAAGACGGGGGACCGATCTCCATGCGCCACGTCGGACAAGGTGCCCATACCCACTGGTCAGAAGTAGGTAGAAGCATGAAGTAGGAAGGCGTTGAACATAGACTGGGTTCCGTCGGCCCCCTAAGGCGGATGGGAAATGTGAAGCCGGTCGATGATTGAAGTAGGAAGGCACTTAAATTAGATTGGATTATGGAACTCCATAAATATGTACTTTCCACGGCCGATGGGTAATCTCAAATCTTCTACACCTGCGGTGAGAACTCCCGCGACTCCACCTACGACTGCTGATGTCAAAGAGCAAATCCTGCAGAGGAAACCCACGGCCCGTGGCTCTCCTTGCCGTCCTTCCGCGGCTTGCTGAGCTGCGTGAAGATCAGGGGCAGCATCATGAAATAGTACGCCATGTCAGAAAACCTGGAATTCGTCAAGACATGCGTGCCCACACAGAAGGGGTACCCCCCCGACGGGGGTCAACCTCGCCTCGCCGTCGCGCCGCGACAGGGGTCGGAGCGCCTTCGGCGCGCGGTGGCTGCCCGAGACGGGGGTCGACGAGGGGCTGTCGGCGGGGGTGACGCCCCCCCGACGCTTATTAAGAAACTCGGAATACACTCGTACCTCCAAGAGTTCGACGGCCATCCATGATTTCGGGGTGATTCGATGTGCCTCCCATAGAGGTTCCTTGAGTTAGCCCGGTATGTAATAGCTGGGGCGCTTTAAACATCTCCAGGTCAGCAGAGCTGACACTTGTGATGAGGAGTGGCCAACTGTATTAGGGGCACTTCCTGGGGAGTCAGCCGACGCGAGGTCGCGGCGCCATGCTTTACAATGACTTTCGATTTCATCCTACGAGTGCAGGACTTATCTTCGTGACTCCAGTCAGATGGTCAGGGAGAGAGAATATGAGACAGCAGCAACAGCAAAAGACCACGTGTACCGATCGGCACTTTTTTATGGGAGAATAGGACCGCCGTTGAAATGTTGGAGCTACATTGCTCTATGTAGCGCATGGAACTACAACTGAATTGCTTTTGGGATGCTGAGATATATCCGAACGAACCGACGCACCGACTCCAACGTCAGAGAACTAAGCTGCACGCAAAAACAAATGTCAATATAACAATCCCTCGGGCACACTGGTCGTCCAGCTTCGTCTGCCCCGAGTACGGGGGATGCTAGCACAAGTAGCAGGGCCTCTCACAACACCACGAGTCTGGATTGGGCTCTCTCCCCAACAACCCTCCTGTGTTTTAGGGGCCTCCTCCTCCTCCTCCTCCTCCTCCTCCTCCCCTTCTCCTCCTCCTCCTCCTCCTCCTCCTCCTCCTGGCGCGTGGCCGACCTACTCCTCCTCCTCCTGCTCCTCCTGCTCCTCCTGCTCCTCCTCCCCCTCCTCGTTTTGAACAGGACACTGCTGCTCCTTCTTCCGCGCGCAACCCCTTTCTCTCCTCTCCTTCGCGCCCCCCGCTTCCCCACTGCATCCCTGCTATGGTAGACGAATGCGTTCCACTACTCGCAAAGTAGCTACTCGCAAATGGCCTGGATCCGCCACAGGGGATCATCTACGATACAATACATCAAAGCATACATGTGTTTTGGGGACGTTTGCGAGTAGGCACTTTGCGAGTAGTGAAACGCGCTCGGCGACATGGG